TATGCATGTTGACTGGACCATTACGAGGACCGGACCATTACGCAATAGATAAGATAAACCGTTTAGTCGTTAGTAAGAAGAACCCATGACGAAAATGAACTGAGACAATCGGCTTAGCCGTCTGCATATTGACTGGACCATTACGAGGCGATAACTTACTCTTTGAAAGATCGTGCTTGTTTTTAAATGCCTAGTGTTCCAATCTTCAAACGCAGTCAAATTCAAAACTTTGCCTAAACGGTTCATAGTTTCGTCCACAAGTTAACGACAAATTAGTGATAATGCTTTTAGTGTAATGGTCTTTCCGCATTCTCTTCGCGTATGTTATGTTAACGCCATTATATCTGGGATATTAAAAATGCACGCGGAACGCCGAGCAAATATTTTTATTATAATAGCTTCCGAATAATGTTGTATTGCAATCAGGTCTATGTATAACATATTATACTCACTTTACACTTTCATTTTCTTCTAACAAAATATCGTTAGAGATGTGGCCAACAAAAAAAAGCAACTTAGGGGCATTCAAGCATGGGGAATGTTTCTCGAAATATATCTTTTAAGAAGCGAGCGATAGATTTACAGACATTCCAAACATATATACAAAGCATGAAGAAAATAACTCAACTATATCTATTGTTCAGATATTATTCAGCTTAGGAAAGGTGGAAAATTGTTCAATAATTTTTTCGCTCTTTTGTCGAATATCGTCCCATCTATATTTTCCACATTCGTTACAAATGGACAGTTTCTTTAATAAACGACTTTCAAATTTCTGATATTATCTAAGCAATGATCGCAAACAGAATGCTATCGAATGCACTTTTAATAGGGTTTACTTCAACTTTATCAAAATTTATCGAAATACCAATAGCGTTACATGATATGAAGAAAGGTTGATATGTTGCACTTTTCTTTTTCTTTTTTTTTTTTTTTTAAACAAGTTCGAAATGATTTGGCAAATTTTCAATTTGAACCTGTTTATCATTACTAAGTTGGCGGAATTCTTAAAATTTGTCGCGATCTATGCATGTAAGACTTGCTAGGCGCCTCCATTACCTTAAAATTCTCAGCCAAATATAAATTAAATATCAATTTAGAAAGCACTTTTCTGTTATTGTTGTATATTTTAAGTAAAATAGTCAACAAGTCCCTATCCATATATATCTATACACACATATATATTATTAATATACATTTTTTTTTTTATTGCTTGGATATCTTCAAAACAATAGCAACCAACGGCTACAAAACATATTTTTCAAGTCAAACGTCAATCAAATTTGTAAATATTTTATAAATAGAAGCAAAAAAGAAAAATTGGCAAAAAAACGCGAAAACGAAAATATGCCTACCGTCTCGTCGCATAACTTTGGACTTAAAAAAAAGCCAACAATTGGTAGCGATAAAAAGATGATGCATTTTAAGAAAAATTTAAAGAAAGGAAATGAGGAAAACTTTGATTTTGATTATAATTATAATTGTAAGCGAGCAGCGTTCTCGTGGTCCACAAAACCCAAAACGATGGGCAAAACCAAGGACAAGGTCCAAAAGTAAGTACCTTCTTTTTTTGTTTTTGTGATATTACACATAACGTATATATATCTATGAGGGTAAATGAACTGCCGGTCGACATTTTTCCATAAACGTAAAAGTAAAGTATTTACGATGTATAAAAAACAAAACATTTTACACAATTTACATGAATTTAGATTTAACCCACGGGAGGTCATTCAATAGGTGTCACGTGTTTTGATTTACTTTATTATCAGTTCTTAAATTATCAAGTGACCAACAAACTCTTATGAAAAATGACATTGAAAAGTTACTAAAAGAAAGGAAGACCATTATTAGGTATCCGTCAGCGACTTATTTGTTCTACGTATTAGGAATAGTTAAAACACATATCGATAAACACAACACATATGCATAAGGAACTGTGATAAAGCAATTCGCCAAAAAAAATAAATAAAAATAAATAAATAAATAAATAAATAAATTCATGCAGAAAATATTTAGAATTGATTCCATTAGGCTGACCTTAAGCACTCTCAACATTAGAACAGATGACCTGGCCGGGCAAACATACGTCGTATATGAATTCTCTCTCAATCGTAATAATTGTCGCTTTGTTGTGCGCAATATTATGCTCCACTTCGTCGGCGGCGGCAACTAACAGAAAATATTTTACCATTCGTATTGACCATCGGTATTTTCTTTATACCTTTATACGTTATGCTTTATGCCAAAGTTGTTCTAATACATCAGAAAGGCTTACATATGCTTTGGTCATTTCGTGACTGAACGTTGACCACACAACACGCACGAAAACACTTTACCAAGTAGTGACTGCTATACTTTAAAATTTATTATATATATATATATATATGTAGGACTTTGGATGAATTTGACTTTTTTTTGTTCTCTTATACTTAGCCGGTTATATGGAAATATTGATTTCTAAATTAAAAAAAAAAAGAAGATGTACGTACGTGTATAGTGCGGGTCGCGAATATGTTTAAAAAGCATGAATTCCGTGTTCGTCAAGCATATTAAGTTTATAAAATAATGAAAGACTTGGAAATAAATTTGGAAAATTATACCAACGAGCGCCATCCCACTTCAACTATCATTACAAATTTAACTGCAGAAGATTATCAAAATATATTAAAGCAAAAACAAACTATTTCTTCGGATCGTAACTCATCGAGCGGTTGTACTCTACAAGAGTTTTGTTGTTCACAATCGGCTAAGCCCAAGTTACGTGATATTGGATCATATTCAACGTCCACCTCATTTACGGTATTAAATAACGATTACGATTCATCGATTACAGGCAAACCTAACGCCATTGTGCACCCTATCCAACGTACAGATTATACGGCATTGCCGACTAATAAACATGTCCGGAATGGTAATTTACATCTTTGGGGCACGCAGATTGCCTCAGAGCCACAGACCGCAATCCCAACCACTGCAACCCAATTTAATGCAAATTTCGCTGAAGAGCTCAATCGAAGATTGCGTAACTTAAATATAAAAACGGGACGGAGCTTGGAATGGTCTCGTTCAAAATATTCAGTTCAAAATGTATGATATTACTAAACTTATCATTTTCGTATATATGCACAACGGTAATGATCATTATCATCGCGTTGATCTATTTTTAAAGATTAGTAAAAAGCAAATCATTCATATAATAATTCACTTCTTACTACGTACATCAAAAATTAATTAGAACATTTAGTAGAAGATGATGATATTTGTTGAAAAATTCATTACAACAAACTTTAAATTATTAAGAGTTAATCTTATTTTCAAAACTTCAGCGTTACATAAAGGCCGATATTCTCGCATACATAGCTCTTCGTACGCACATATACACATTTTTTTCGCAATAGAAACGATGCTGTACTTGGATAAAATTTCTCATTAACTCTCTTAAATCATATGAATTAGCATAAGCAGGAATGGGGACCATATATATGAACGCATATATAAGCTATCGTTTGTTTTAATTTGTTTCTCTTACGGTTAAAAATTATCAGACAAATTATTGATTATCATCCAACAACGTTATAGCAAAACTTATATATATATATATATATATCGAGAGCAAACTCTCTATCTCTCTCAATTTAATTATTTTTTGTCGCAGGAAAGACTCTGCAAAGACTTTGAAAATATCACTTAAGTGGTGGTAAGTCTTTTAAACAAGTAAGCAAGTTCATTCTGGCTGTGGCAGAATCTTGTAAGCTCACCATTATTATTCATTTTATCATACCTTATGACGTTGCGGCAACATAAAATTCGTATATTGCGAATTATTATCACTTGATCAGTAATAAGGAAATGAAATGTATTTACGGACAATACGCATTTATTTTCGGTGGCCAGGATGAAAAATCCATACAATTTGCAATGCTCTTCCCAGTGCAACTTCAGAATAATGATTGAACTAAGACAGTGAACATGAATACTATTTTCAGCCTCCTATCTTTCATTGTTTATGAGTTAATCAGCAAAAGTCCCCACATTTTTGAGTAGAGAAATAGAGGTGCATTCAATTGACGCTTTGCTATGAATCTCTCCTTGGACCGATTTGAACCGATTTGTTACTATCGACCGGCACGCAACCATTTTCAATGTTTCTGCCAAGTCTTAAGTCGATATCTTCATTTTTGCTACCGGGACATTGTCAAGAACATATATTCACATAGAGTCCTTCGAAGATTCTTTTTGTGTGTTCAGACCACTATGACAAAACGAATATACTGCGGCAGTGGATATAAAAACTAAGATGCATTAGCAGGCTCTCTAATGCCTATTTCTATTTTTCTTTTTTTTTTTTTCTCGTTTACTTCTTACGTCACCGTTGGGTGACCTTGGAAAAAAGAAATCGAGAAAAGTAATTTTCTTTTTGTTCACCTTTTGAACTGATTAATATTTTTAGGGCAGCAATCAAGAGACACTTAACCAGAGACCTTTGTTTATAACGACTGTACCTCGTGGTATATTTCTACCACCACCCAAGGAAGTATTTCTCATACCGTCACAACATAAGAAAAGCCTTTATGCTTATTCCTCACATCCTGTCGTTTATCAAGCATCACTTCGTCACCAAAAACAACATATTTACAATACGCACACTGGCGGTACAAAAGTTAAAACTATCAATGTAACAACAACAACAACAACGACAGCAGCAGCATCAACAACAACAACAACAACGGCAAAAGCAATATCTAATTGCTATAAAACTGTTACTAGTAAAAGTCGCGTAACGCTACCCAAGGGCAGATTTCAAAATGTTAAATACAACAATAAAGCTGACGATATTAATGGCAGCAATGGTCGGAATAGAGAAGACCCGATTGCAATAAATGATAAAGACAAAGTAATGACAATTGCAATACACAATAATAATAAAAACAACAGCAATAGTATACACAAACAAATATGCAAAAATAATATGAGGGAAAAATGTAATCGTCAATCGTATGTCTCAGTGATTGGTGGTGATGTTGATGACAACATTGGCATACATATAACAAAGCAGCAACAACGGCACCAGCGACAGCAACAGCAATCATATCACACAAAAAGGTAATAAAAAAAAAAGCTAAATTGTCATCACTGTTTTGTCCCTACAGGCATACATATATATATATATATATATATATACATTAGATACGAAAAAAAGTTGCTTTATTTATTAAGTTGCTTTGCTTATATTAACATCAATAATCGTAAATGGCTTAATTTGTCTTAGACTTTGAAATATTTAATCGTTTAATAGTATTATTAAGCTATTGATATAGCGAGGAGAGTCTAGTCTACATGATGCTACGTCGATGTTATCCGCGCAAATAAAAAAGCATTCAGTTCATTTAACTTTGATTTTTATTGCAAAATAAATTGTTTGTAGGATCAGAGCCCGGCCATCGTTGATAATAATATTGATAATATTAAACCTGAAAGTGAAAACATAAAATTTTGTAAAAAAAATTTTGAATAACAAGCAGATAGAGAAGCACTTTTGTTACTACTTCTGTTAATACTTAATAGTCTAAAAAGTTCTGCTTTATTTTTATTAAATTTAATTTTTCGGTAAACTGTGGACCGTTAAAAAAAATCGTTCGAATACTCCTATTTAGGGCTACTTCCTTAGCAATGTCAATTTAAATTATCCTCCTTCTTGACAAGTCCAAGTGCCAATCAAGATTAGGAAAGACATGCCGTGACATATTGACACATACACAAGCATACAAGGATATATAAAGCATAGATGAAGTAGAGTATTTATATTTAAAATTAAATGAAAACATAGTAATCAACGGAATACCCTAAGCCAACCTATATGTATATATTCGTATGACGAACGTATTCTAAAATAACGCGTCCATTCCGAATATATTTTAATAGCGTGCGTCTTTGCAACAGATTCCATTAAAATATCTCCAAAATTGCGGACTGTAGGTTGAACATAAAAATAAAACAAGACGAATGAACGGATAGACAAGCCTAGATCAGTGCAGAAAGTGATTCGATTGAATCGATCGGTATAATAATAAAAAAAGGTGAGCCTATCTCAAATTCTTCTAGGTATTGCATACATTCGCAACAAACTTAATATACCCTTCCCACAATGCCTGGTGTAGGGTATGAAAATTTATTGATAATAGCCAGCAAATTGTAATAAGCGCCCAACAATCAACCAAAAAATATTAAAAACAATACATATCTATGCTATTGTATTTAATGGACGCGACAGACTAATTTAAATTGATATTTCATTTTTCTCAACTATTCTTCATTCTTCAAGCATATTTGCTCGATTATAGTGTTTATTTTTTAGATATTCAAAAAAAAAAAAAAAAAAAAAATATGCGAACTGAGTGAAACACGACAGGTGTTAAACAAAGTCTTGCTTTCGTTTTACAGACGTGAATAATTAAATGTAAAGAACGCATTGACAATTGTTTATTTGCTAATTATACACATCGCTGCGATGTACATCAAATCCTTGTCAATAAAAACTTTAATAAAACACTGAGAGAAAGTGCTTTGTAAGGTGCATTCAAATCTAATCCAAGTTGATATTTTAAAATAAACGAATAAATAAATAAGAAATAAGGTTCACCCACGGATCACTGTAGCGCGGTATGACAATGCATTTACACACCAACATACAATACGACTGTTGTGTATGCTGCGTCACCCAATTAATTGCTATTCATATGATTGTTCTTTTCCTATATATCCCTCTCTTTAAAACTGTACGTATTTTCTGTTACGCCCTAGCTAAAGGAAATAGGGAGTGCGACCAAAAACAGTCATTTGCCAACTGCTTGCTAATGATCAGAATATGGTTTTTAAAAAAAAAATTTGAAGGCATTTTCAAAATCCAGTATTCACTCCAAAATAGTAGTATTCTTTCGTCCCTGCACCTACAAGTTTCCCCCTCTATTGTTGCAGCGATTGCAGCAGTTATTGTTTGGTTAGCATCTTTTCAATCTGAAACTAACTCGATAATGTGACCGACTCCGTCTAACACCTCGTCTATGTGTTGATTACAAATTATTCATTCATTCATTGTTGTTGTTGTTGTTGTTGTTATTTTTGGCGTTGTTGCTGTTGCTGTTGCTGTTGCAGTTGCTGTTGCTGCTGTAGTACATACCGCATGATAATCGCTATGCGTATAAATCTTATTTACCTGTCGAGGCGCGAGCTGAAGGCATACATGATATCTATTACGGATTCAAAGCCATTGTTTTTCTACGTCTATTTCTGCGTAAATGGGACAACCATGACTTAAAAAGTGTCTAATACTCATTCGGTGCAAAAGAATGTCGCGTTTTTATACCCTACATCACTTGTGATACAAGACTATATTAAGCTTTTGCGGATGTACACGACAGTGCGAAACAGCTTAGGATTGGCCCATCTGCGATTAAGCCGATCGATTCAGATTCACTTTCTGAACCGATCTGATCTTGTTTCTCTGTATGTCCTTATTATGTTTCCTCGTATTCAACATATAGATCGCAATTTTTAAGACATCTTCATGAGTTTTAATGCACCGCCGTCTGTTTTAGCCCACGGACAAGCGTTATTGCTTTTTTGACAACTCACCCTTCAGAATTCAGAAAAAAAATTCGGAAAAATCGTCATACACAAACAAATGCAAATGCATTAGACAAGGTGGTGTAGTCTATTTATAATCTTTATACAGTGTGATATAATGGCTTTACTTGTTTATATTTAATATCAAATTTACGATTTAACATTGGACTTATAATTTAACTTTTAATAGTTTTAAAGAATGCTTGCACTGTATTTCTTAAATCTAAATTTGTTATCAGGAAATATCCATAACGACGTATTTCACGAATTAACTCAAAAGTTGATGTTGTAGTAACAAAGGCAATGTGAGGCAATTTTCTTGAAAGATATTTTGAACGGCATTTATTTGAATTTTCCATTTAGAGAAATGAATGAAAGCTGAAAAAGCATCTAAGTGTGTAAGTGTGAAAAGCAGTCTTAACATCCCTGAGAAGTTTGAAAGCAGAGGTGAGTAGAAAGACTAAAGTTATGGAACAAAATTGTACCTTGTGGATCGACTGAATGAATTGTACTTACAGGTCATTGTTACTTTCTACCGTGAAAGTTTTGAAAAATCCTTTAATGTTATGAGGTTATGAAGGGAATTATATAGATGTAATTTCCTACATGTTCCTAGACAAAATCAGAGGCCTTCTTGATATCGATGAAGACATCCTCAGCAGTATAGTTGTATTATTTGCCATCTTTTACTCTGTTAACAACGCCTTTAATTTAATGACAGGCTGGATACTATCTTCTGCAATCGCACTGAGATTTTTTCAAGTAATTTTCTTACCGAGCTTGGGCGCGAGCTGGAAACAAGTTTAATTCTTGAAGGAAACGGTGCGGTGTTGATCTCACATTAGGCGATACTTAAACGTCCGTTCGGCCTAAATTTAACATTCCTTTATTTAATTGTCAAAGATTTTATTGTTTACTTGTTACTTCCGTCATATCAAACTACAAATTACACTTTATCGCCATAGAGATATTGCTTCCATTAGAGTCTTCCCGTATAAGGTGTGATCTAAAAATTAGACTTATGTGATCCAAATTTCGTATGATTAATTTATTAAGGATCATTTTTCGTCATAAAGTATTAAAAATTACACCTTTTTGACATATATACGAGGCTTATTTTTTACTTTTATATGGTTTGGGATCCAAGAAGTCCAAAATCGATGAGATTAATTTTTATATCACGTTACAATTATCAACAAATTTTCATCGAGAAATTAGGCCTTTCTAGCGTATTAAGATTCCGTTTCCATAAGAACGGTTATAGGGGCAAGGGGTTCAAAAAACTGTTAATTCAGAATGCCAGTGATGTTTATCAAGAAATTTTAAAAATTTTTTCTATTTTTTGGAAACAATTTTTTTATAGCTTTGATCCCTGGGCCGAAGCACATCAGTCGACCAAAATTGATCGAAATATCAAGAAAGTTGTAACTATGAGTTAAACACAAAAATACCTTGACTGACAGCAGACGGACAGGGAGTCGGGCAAGCTTAGATCAGTGTAATAAAAGATGAGCTTATTGCAAGGCGTTTTGGATCTTCCGCACAAACTTAACCTTACTATGTGCCACAAGTGGTATAGGGCGGTGCAAGTAATTATTTTCGTACTTTCTGTTTAGCTTTCCTCCCAAAAAAAAAAAAAAAAAACACGAAAACTTTTTAAAAAGGTTTGTAACATTTTTTTTTTAGAATCCATAATAATATATGATCAATTTAATATAATAAAAAATATATTTTTTTTTTTAATTCTTTGTATGATCTTTAATTAGTTATATAAAGCATTTATGAAAATTTCTTTAGTTAATATTGCTCAAGAAACTAGAGATTTTAACTTAAGGATTTTCCTCTCTCTCTTTCTCTCTCTCTCTCTCTCTCTCTCTCTCTATACAGTAATGAAGAACAAGACAAAACTATTAAATATTATATATGTGTTAATTAAAACTATTCAATGTAAAGTCTAAAAAAATTGTCGACTATTAAATATTTTGTCTACTTTTTCAGAGAAATACCTCCAACTGAGCCTTATAACGATACCATAAGTAAGGAAAATGAAGATAAAAATCCACTTACCAATCCATTAGCACTTTTGGTAAGCGAAATTAAAAAAAAAAAAAAAAAAAAAAAAAAAAAAAAAAGTTATTTCGTTGAATTAATTCAAAAGGATTTAAATTCATATTAAAGGGAAAACTTAAACAATATTCCGCAAAAAAAACAGAGCAAATAATTATGTTTAGTACGGACTGAACTCTTTGACACACACACACACACACGCACACACTTATTATTATCTGTCAAGTTATGCAATTTTTTTTTTTTTGTAAGAAGAGCAGCTCCGAAATGCCGCAAATTTAGTAATACGTTTAAAATCCATAGACATTAGTCGATGCCGATGAAATATTTGTTGCTACCCTTTAGTGTTGACTCACAACCATGCATTTGTGGGCGGGAACTTCCAAATATTGCTTGGAGATGCTCGACCGCGTGCGGTGAAGCGCTCAGGTGGTCATGGGCGGGAAAGCCTGTCCAAAACTCTCGGGCATCGGCGTGATATTGGCCGTCTAATCCTCATGTGTACGTACATCGACGGATTATGTTCTATAGAGATAAAAGAAATTTGTCCATCGATAAAGTTCTTTAACAGCATCCTCAGCGTTCCCACCCACTCGTCTTGGAATTGCCTGCCTGTATACCGCACGACACACTACCGCGAGTCGTCACGCTTTGATCACTTTGTGCGCCTTTGAAACAATGTACCAGCAAGGGTGTCTCTCACAGCGACTGCTGTTTCCCCGGTTAAATCAAACGTACACAAACACTATTCTCTCCTTCCGTTCGTCTCTACCTGCAACCCTACCGGACCGCCATTGTGCCCGCGCGTATAAGGGAATGGGCAATCACTGAGTGCGACTAGTCATATAAAAAAAAATATATATATATATATATTATAGTTTTCAATGTGTTGCGTATAACTAATAAAGGAAAGCACATTGCAAAATGACGGGGTTACGTGAGAAGCCTGCTTTTAATCAATCATGCATTTCATTAAATTTTTTCTGTTTGCGTCTGTCAATTAAAATATTATATCAAAATATATAAAGGCCCATTTTTCTTACTTTCTTTGTTGTTCCCGTTTTGTATCGTCTATGTAGCTAGATTACAATCCATTCGATAAGGGCGCTGAGTCCAAAAGAAGGCTAAGTTTGCGTAAGCGCTTAGGCTGCCAAAAGAAGCAAAAAAATTTCTTGACTTCGCATGGTACGGATCGTCAACGTCATAATACAAAGGATAATAAACTTATAGAAGAAATAACAACGCGATCACCTGAAATCGTTCTAGTCGATCAATCAGAGCTTTTCTTGGAGAAACCACCTTTAGCACCATACGTGCCGTTCAACGTTAGCGTTGATGCATCCACTGAAATTGCCGACGACGAACTCTTCCACTTTGAAGCCGAAGTTCAACCAATTATTGAAGTTTTGGTCGATCACACTATAGATTTGAGTGTAATAGAGGTGGCACATGAAAAGGAAATCTCTACTATACGAAGAAAAATGGATGTGTAAATACTACCACTTATATATTGTAATAATTTACCTAATTGCGATATTTACAGATTGTTAGCTCAACGTGAAGTCGAATTGGCAGAGTTGCGTCGGCTTGAAGCCGAGGATATACTTTTAAAAGCCGAAAGAACAAGACGTTTACGACAAGAAGCAATCGCTAAGACGTTAGACGAAGACAGGCAGCAAGAAGTTATCGCTGCGAAGCTGCTGCAAGGTCATATCGCTAACGTTCTACCAGAAATTTTGGATAGTCTCGAGCCAGCCGCCGATGCAGATAAAAAGGAAAAACTGATGAAGAGTCTTTGCCCATGGCTGTCGGCCGAAGTAGCAACGGAAGTTGGCCAGATTATAAATTCTCGCGAAATTCTTACAGTTATAATTAAAGAAATTATCAAGCAGCGCGCCGAGATCTATGCTGGCTATCAGGAAAAACAGCCAATAACCGAAACAATAGACGAGGAAGAATACGAGATTTGCGAAATTGAAAGTAACTTAGCGGAAACTGAGTCTATACAACGTTGTTCCCCACATATATAATGTTATTATGACTCTCGGTCGAATCTCATATGCGGATATTTTCATTTCATTTTTTTCCACAATATATCTTTCGAGTCTACATCCAAATTGCTAATAGATTTTATTTTACAATTGATTTTTATGGATAAATGTATATAGATAAAAATCTTTTATTGCGATTCGCTAAGCGATTCATAGTGAATGATTTTTATTTGTTTACCTATTTACCTATATATATATACTCTTTGATAATATGCACTATCAAGATTATAATTAATTAGTGTAAATATTAAATATTATTTAAATAAAAATAAATTCAGAATGTTTCCAAGATTGACCTCACAAAAAGTATGAATAACTCGAGAATTAGATATAGATATAACGCGATCTAAAATTGCTTAGTGAAATTGAAATCATAAACAATTTGAACATAAGCCAGGACACTAAAATACACAACATTGTAAGACTCGAACGAATAAAGATTTGATTTTAATTCAATTCACGAAAGTATTAAGAAGAATGTCTCGCTATCGCTAATATTGGTAATAGTTCATCCACTTATTATTCGCTACACAACCTGTGGTATAGGGTATATGACATTTATGCGGCTGCACACAACGTGGAGAAGAATTTAGATTGACTCACCTTTCAGAATCATATTCTAAACCAATCTAAGTCTGTCTAAGTCTCTCTGTTTGCCTGATGTCTGTCCATATGAAACTATGCTCAGCGTATAAGTCGCAATTTTTGCAATAATTTGATGAATTTTGGAACACTGGCGTGTTTTAACCCAAGAATGAAGCCTGTTGAAAATGCTCCGGATCGGAATATTTTTTTCACCACTCCCTATATAATGTCTTATTTTGAAGAGTTGTATGAAAAAATATTGTCACTTTTACTAGTTCCCGAGAAAAATCGCTGAATAATAGAATTGATGTAAAAATTTTGGATCGGATGGGTCAATTTTTTGCCATACAGCCTTTCCTACGCAGACTGCATCTTTAAACGCTAAAAAGACGAAGTCAAAATTTATTGTTGATCCAGAATATATTTATTTTATAGGGCCATTGAAGCCTCTTTACGATCATTACGAAGGCTTCGTACATACATTCCCTCGTGCTTGTGTGATGGATATAAAAATGTATATTTCTCCTAAACACACACTTTTAAGGTCTAATCGCAGATAGTAGGAATTTGTTATGATAATAGAAACAACATAAAATTTAAGTACTCAGCTGAGAAACTTCAGCTGTGAATAACAGCAAATAAGTTAGATGAAATGGTATTAGAGTTTTGCAGTATTTGATCAAAATCCTCCACAATACCCGCAGTGCAAAATTTCATGTCCGATATAATAGATTTTGCGTTACTTTACAATTACATGTCTTAACTAAAAAAACAAAAAATTATATTGGACCACTGAAAACAATAGCTGCATTTCTATTAACGTAATGATGCAATACATAAAACCAATTTAACTCGTAGCTTGCAACATACTGCAAACTATAGGGTATGAGAAACAACCATATGATTAGTTTTGTTTACATAACAAAGGTGAATAATAAAATTTAAAAAAAAATGGAAAATTTCTTCGAATAGGGACAATATTTACTATCAATTAACGATTTAAGTGAACATATGAAAACATTCATTGACGATACGTTTTTACGGGTTTTTGATACGAGAGAAGCTATTTTATAAAAAAATTCCCTGGTTTCTACTACCAATAATAATCAACCTGCAAAGAATTTAATTTTTTTTTTTCCTTTTTTTTTTTTTGCGTCTACTATGATAACATGTCTGCTGTCCAGAATAAACGCTCTATTTCAGTTGCCACCATGATTCATTTTCCGTTTCGAATCATATGTTGTTGACTTGCTGAATATTTAAGAAGAGGATTTTCTAATAAGCAAGTTGCATTTGTTGGATAAGTTATTCGCTTATCGAGATGCCCTACGCAATAGTGGCAAAACGTTTTTATCACATTCCTCAAATCCACAATTTTTTAAAAACTAAATTAATTCGTTTATCCTAGGTGCTGTAAATTTAGAAGATATACTAAATTTTTTGCCGCGTATAACGCAAGACATATATATATATAATTTAAAAAGCCTATAAATTGTTCACTTGATCGGACAAAACTTTTAAAGAAACATAATAAAACAGAGAAGGCCATCAAAATGTATCTTTGAAAATATATGTTGTTCATCTTAAATTGTTGTATATGAAATATACAAACAACTAATATGTACATCATTGTTTAAGCGCTGAGTGTTAGAGATTCGTCTTAACGTACACTTTTTCTCTTGATATGAAAAATGTTAACAAAATTTTCACAGAAATATTTAATTTCAGTTCGTAAATTGTTTATCGCTTTTTAGATTAATATTAAATTATTTAATATTTATAAAATCATTGTATAATTATAATCATGTCGAAAATATTTACGCCTACAAATCAAATCCGTTTAACAAACGTGGCTGTGGTGCGTTTAAAAAAGGCAGGCAAACGTTTCGAACTTGCCTGTTACAAAAATAAAGTGTTATCTTGGCGTAATAATGTGTTTGTTTCCTAAAAAAATTCTTAAGCCTTTTTAAATTATAATAATCTTTAACTTATGCAGGGAGAAGGATATCGATGAAGTGCTGCAAACGCATACAGTCTTTACAAATGTTTCAAAGGGACAAGCAGCAAAAAAAGAAGAATTGATAAAAGCTTTCGGTAAAACTGACGAAACTGAAATATGTAGAGAAATTTTAAGTAAAGGGGAACTGCAGGTGTCCGAAAAGGAACGTCACTCTGTAATGGATACGCAAATGAATAGCATCATAAATAGTGTAGCAGCTTTGTGTGTAAATCCGGAAACACGTCGACCATATCCATCTACTATAATAGAAAAATCACTGAAAGACGCGCATTTCTCCATAAAACCTAATCGCAATACTAAGCAACAGACTTTGGACGCCATTAAATTGCTCAAAACGCACATGCCTATTGAAAGATCTCGTATGAAAATAAGAATTACGTTTGCTGCTAAAAAGGATTACGGTCCTAAATTACAGGAATCGATATTGAAAATGGCAGCCAGTGTAGAACATGAAGAATGGATCGAATCAACTTTGCAAATAACTATATTCATAGACCCCGGGAATTACAGAGCAATCGATGATCTGGTGCGTAATGAAACCAAAGGTAAAGGATTAGTCGAACTCCTTGAGCTTAAAGATGTAGTCGAAGCAGAGGAAATTTTTTAATTTATTTTGTTTTCATTTGCGTTAAATTAAAAAATTAACCTAAATGTTATAAATTTAACTTTACTCTAGCAGTAACAATTAATACTCAAATATAGATAATTGTACAGTATATATATTTATATATATATATATATATATATGTTATATATATATATGCGTATATGTATCTATATGACGTCGTTGGCTTTTATTTTCGCTTTTTAAGATTCTCAAAACGTCGAGCCAAGTCATCAAAGTCAATATCATCATTATCAGGTTTACTTTCCTCTGACGGTGCGTCTGGTAAATCCAGAGGTACATTGGGCAACTGCGGTAATTCTGCAGATGGCAAATCTCTAGGATTTGCAGCTGGCGGCAATTTTCCACGTGGCTGAGGTTTTGGTTTATTAACATTCTGCAAGTATTTCAAAAAGTTTTACGATTTAGAAAATGCACGGAATTTATTAATTAAAAAAAAAAAAAAAAAAAAAAAAAAAATACATAAATAACAAAGACGAGAAAGATTTACAAACAGATTCATAAACATTACAATTAAATATGTAAAACTACCTGAAAATTAACACGATTAATAGAAGTATAGCTTGGTGGAGGATCGTTGTGCATTTGTGAACGCTGTCCAAACAAAAAAATTTCAAATGGAAATAAACTCAAAATAAAATGCAACATTTTTTACATACGTGCAATAGGCACAAATTTCAAAATAATCATATTTGAAAATAAACAAAAAGGGATTTACATGCCATGGGATATTTTTACTATTAGCAAACATACCGAAACATTTTGATTAAATCCTTGCGGGTCATTATCATCGTAATTTATAGGTGTTGATGACGTTGAAGATATTAATTCATTACTAGATTCTTCCTACAATCACGTTTGACAAGCAAGTACATCATGCGGTTAGATAATATTAAGCATACAATTTTAAAATTGAAATTATAAGTATCTCAGCAATATAGATAGCAAAATATACCTTTAAAATTCACTTTGCGAAAATAATAACCAACTTACATTTATGAATTGCGTATTTAAATCCTTTTTTTCGTCGATAATTTGCGTGGGTGATGTGTTAGGTGGTATATTATAGTTAAACGGAGATTGATTTGAATTTCCGCCTGCACCTTTGGCTCCATCGTAAGGAGGATAGTTAAAAGGTTTATTGGAGGGTGGCGGCGGCATTTGGGGTAGAGGAGGCACTGTAGGATATCCTATAAAGCCCATTTGAGGTGGTGCTGAAGAACCTTTGCCGCCTAAATTATTCCGATCTGACAAATCAATCAAATAATGATCTTTCCCTGAGCATAATTTTTCAGTTAAGAATAATGCGAACATAAAACTTGGTTTGTTAGTCCCTTACCTTCCTCCTTATCTTCGTTCATAATTTGAGGATCTGCTTCATATTCAATATTGTAATTTTTAGCAATTTCAATTAAATATTTTTCCACTAATAGCTTTGGAGGGGCTTGAAGTTGTAATTTATGCATTAACTTCTCAGAAACACGATGATCTCCAGTAGCAGTGCGTGCACTTTCAGCAAATTGAGGACCGTATTTTTGCACAAAAATATCGCATATTACTTTCAATTCAGCTATATCACTTTGCATACGAGGGCACACCCACACCAAACTAGAAACGGCCTCAGCTATTCCATCATCCAGCTCCTTCATTTGCGTAACTAAGCCAAACCTAGCCAATATTAAGTCGCAATACATTTCTACTACTTCCATAGCTTCGACAAGATAGTCTTCTCTGTTATAGGCATAAATTATAATCTTTTGCTAAATAACATTTTTTTTCGTTCAAATTACCTGATTATATGCTCTACGCGAATCCGAGCTCTTTCCGTTTTTCCAGTAGACAAGTAATCAGCTATTTCTTTACGTGATTTTTGAGCGATTTCTGTCTTTTTTTTCTCCAATAATTTTAAACGATTTTGGGCCAATTTTAAATTGGTCTTTAGCTTTGTATAATTGGGCCCACTTGAAAACATCCTTACTTAATTAGAAGAAAATTCCAATAAAACTGTTTTCACCAAATGAGTCATTAATACTATTCCCTTTTTTTATTGTTTGTTGGTACATTATACATTCATTAAAGAACTTATCGTATGGCATGGTTGCCAATATTACCTAATGAACCTATTTGGTTTACAAGACACACAAGAGACAATTTAATATCAAGTCGACACAAATATATTATGCAAAATTAGACTTAGTCAATCCCAAGGATATTTGGTGTTTGTATTAAGAATAACCGTAGCTGCACTGTTAATTAGCATTATTTATATAGGAAAGAATTTTGTTGAACGATTCTTGATATGATGTCTTTTTCGGTTTTTTTTTTTTTATATTTTTTTTTCATAACCTTAAAAAAGTATAGTTATGATAATAATATTTTCGCTGACATTTATTGGAACATTAGGCGAACATAAAATTTAGAATACCTTAATATGATATTAACGATAAAACAAAGAAAGTTATATTTGTTTTTCTACCTACTCTTTGGTGTTAATTTTTTTCGTACGTATATACTTCTATGTATATCATAATGCATAATCATATATAAAAGACTTTTATATGCTATTTCTTTGTTAACATATAATGTATGGTGTCATCATATCAAGGTGGGTCAATAGTTCTGCTAATGATAAAAGAAACACGAAAAGTTTACGCGATTTAACTAGTTTTAATTTTGTACAAAATGTTGGGCCATCTTATTATTTAATTGTCCCTGGTTTTACGTGCTATACCTCTCTTTCTCTCTCTTACGCGAAAAACATTCTTAAACCATTCTCATATATGTTCTTATCTAGAATCAGAAAATTTTACATATAAATAAAAAAACAGTAGTAAAAATTCTGGCAACTCTGTAGTAACTTGCAAATAGTTATGAAAGTAAAAAAGAGAAGGATAGAGAGGGAGAAATCTATCGAGGAAAGATAGAAAGAAAATGAAAAAAATAAATAAGTCGGAGAAAAGTTGTAATAAACGCTCTCTTCTTATATCTATAACCTAAAAATTTACATATACATGATTGATGTTTTAGAGAAGTACATGATTTTCTTATGCACACATACATGATAGCTGCATAATTTATGATTTCTCCCTTCGCACAAAACGTAATGTATATTGAAGCGCACATACGACACTAGTAACTGTTATTATATTAATTCTGCTACGCTTTTATGTATTACATATTCAAGCGTAAAATAATAAAAGCTATAAGAAATAATCGCTTCTATTTGTATGTACCATGTATGTTAAATGGACATGCATGGGGGAATATAACAGCAATGATACTGTTTTGATCTAACAATGAAAAGGTAACGGGGTAGTTTAACTAACCAAGTAGTAACGAAGCGATAATAAGGAAAAACAAAAGAGACAATACATGCATTTCTTTGAGCGTGTGCTTTGCAATAATTTTTCACAACACATTATTAGAAACCAGTATGGACTGTAGATTACGATTCTCCCTCCCTTAATACTATAGTTAATATATGAATGAAAATTCTGCGTAATTTACTCCGCCAATACATGATAACTAATGTTTAATTCAAATTTGAACACCCCCAGTAACGTGACTATTTGCGAATATTACTAGAATGCTGATGCTTTATTGATATTCTCTAGTTCTCTCTTTCTCTCTAAATAAACACAAAGTATAACAACAAAAATCGAGAGAGCAATAATGTTGATAGGCATTCATAAGAAAACTTTGCATTCACTATTTCCCATGTTAATGTTAACCAAACATTGTTTTACAAAATCAGTATACATGGTAACAAACACCATACGTATACGTATGTACATATACTCTAGCTCTTATTTATAAACAACTCGATAGATGAAACTGTTTATACATACATGGCAGCGATTTGAACTTTTTTTTTTTCTTACATTTTAATGAGCATACATGCAAACTTCATTTGACATTAATAAATCGTTTAATGGAATATAAACGATTTAGACTCAAATTATTTAACTTTCAACAAATTAGCTCGGCTATATGTCGAGGACTTAATGCATGCATGACGACATACCTGTTTGTCTTTTAAAAACTTCCAAAACAATACTACGATTTAAATTCTTTAATGCATATATTTTGCTTTATTGGAGCTAAGGAATCGTATCCACATTTTGGTGAATCAATGATGAGTTTTATACCGTCGCACATGGATTGTTAAGTTCTTTGCGTTAAACAAATGTATCATAATATAAGTTTTTTTATATTTACATATTTCTTTTAGGAAAATTAAAGATAATAAACGAAACGGAAAAGGTTATGTTTCTATCTCGCTAAATATAAAACGATCGCTTTCCAGTTCTCTCGCTCTTATTCACAATATTTAGTTCCTAACAACGTTAATGTAAAAAGACATTAATATAAAAAGTTTGCAAAGGTACCCTCCTGTCCAAAACAAGTTAAGTTTACAATGAATATGAACAGGGAGTGTTAAAATACTATTATATATTTTAATTTATATAGGAAAACACTAAAAAATAAAAATCGTTTGGCAGACAGGCTGGGGCTTAAATTAGAATTAAAAAGAAGAATGCCGATCAAATTTATGTGAAAAGGTCTAAGAATGCACACGTTACCAGCCTTGACATTGTAAAATTACGGATCCACTTTGCGTATTTTAGCGAGGCTAGTCGGCCGCTGCGCTGTTGCAATGGGTGGTGTTGTGGTACCGGTTGTGTGAGATGAAGTAGCCATATCTGTGTTCACAGTGCCAAGCTGCATACGCCTTTTAACGACTATCTTCCGTCCTTGAGTGGGCACCAAAGTAGTACTATTGCTGGCCTGCGGCATCTTAATCGGTGTTTTACTTTTGCTGGTATCATCTGTAGATAATTCAGTCTCTAATTCGACCGATCTTTCATCCTAAAGCAAATATATAATCATATTGATGCAATATATTTATTTCCATTATTTCACCAACCTCATCATCTTCATCTATTTCATCCTCTTCAAATTCAATATTGTAGCCCTCTGGTTCAACCAATTGGCCGTTAAGCGTGGGAAAGGGTATATCGGGTAGTAAAATTCTATTGTGGGGTCCATTACGCTCATTCATTAATTTTTGCAACAAATTGGATATATCCTCACGTTTGCGGGTCACCGTTATGGTGTCAAACCAACTCGCCAATTGTTTTATTGGAATGCGATAATCCCGTATAGGATCGTTGAAAAACTGTTCCACATATTGCAGCAAATACAAGCCACAGTCCGTAAAATTATTCTGTTGAGGCACCTTCACACAATGGCCAGGCATGTTATCCTTATTAAAGGTGTGAGCAGGAATCTCGGGCAATTTCACTTTATACTCACAGCTCAGGTAGTCTCGTAAAGTAGCGACAACACGACTACGTGAAGCGCCAGCCAACGAATCAAATATTAAAATTAGAGGTTGTTTGATGGGCTGCTGTGATGCGGTATTATTCGCGCCCGTTGACGAACCGGATGCGTTACTCTGCGAATTATTCGGAGCATTGGAACTGCAGTTGTCATAATCACTATCCTCTGAAGCCAGATCGCTGTCATCCCCTTCAGCTTCATCTCTCTCACTATCATCATCCCCTACACAGCAAACATCTGCCAAAACACTAGCACTCTCACGCTTCGACAGTGGCGTAATCGTTGTGTTGCCAATTTGCAAAGACACCTTTTTTCCTTCTTTCAAAGAAAGAAGATAAATAGCAAATGAAAAATATGAATATATAAATTAAAAATATGAATTTCTGTTTAGCTTACTTGTTTTTTTAATTGGCTGCAATTCAACTGGAATATGAGTATCAAATGTTACTGGACCTTTAAGTCCTGGAAAGCATATGATTGCCAAAAACCAGTGAGACTGTTCGTTGATGGGGATAATTATAAAGTCTTTTTCAAATAGATTTACATTTTTAGTCCAATTCTGAACGCGAGCATGTCTTTTCTGCGCGGCGGTTTGTTTCACATCTTTGTCGGGATTTGTATGTCGTGTAAAAGTAGTTAAACGTTCATAGAAAAATGTACTAAATATGAAAGTGCGATCCTTTTCAGTTTTTGGAATGACGTTATCGTGCAGCCATTTTAAATAGAAATCAATTATAATGTCGTTCAAATACTGATCGGTTGCCAAACACAAATAATCTTCAGTATTAATAGAAATACCACCTTTTCCGGGTGGATAAATCAATAGCTGTCGTATGTCGTTGGGCAGTAATTGTGTTGTAGTCGGATTACTTTCACTAAAATGTAATCAATCAATTATTGTTATTAAGCCTGCGTATAAACTATATTTACCAGTTTTGTTTGCTATCAGCAAATTTGCGATCAGACTCAGTTGCTCGCTGTATCAAAACTTGTGCATCTGCCAAAGAAACTTCTTCTAAAATGTCCCATATGGAACGAATAACGCTTTGCGCCTGGTCACCAATAGAATCAATTTGCAAAATAATTTTCCGTTTTTGAGAAGGACCACTTGCCGAAAAATATGTTTCTATATAAAAAGTGTAATTTAGTTATCCAGACTATATGAAATCTTAAATCGCAACAGAAAACTAACCTCCATCCATTGGGGCTGCACTATCGGACATTTTCAAAGCATTTTTGATGTATTGAGCGCATTTGCGTAAGGTATAAAAGCATAACGTAGATTCTGTTGTTCTTGAAAAATGTGCTACGATTTTAATCACTTCTCTATTGTAAATATTTAATGTGCACACCTCACTGGTGTTTGCTTCCAAAGGTGCCACAATATGTATTCCTTTTGATGTTATAATTACCGGTTCTCTAGGTTCGAAACTATAGGTACCTAATCGAATAACCCTACAAGATAGTGTGGTGCTCAATTGATCGCTGCAGTCACTTAAGTCGGTTACATCCCCACGTTTGAAGTCTGTAAAAGTGCAAAAAAAAAAAAAAGAAAACGTGTTAACAGAAGCACAATTAAAACGCAATATAGGAAGTGAAATTCATTTTCTGTAAATTCTTTTGCAAAAAATTTTTTCAATTCCTTAAATGTACACCTTTACACTCCATTGTAATTTAGATTTGTTTATTTGAAATGCTTTTGCAACTTTCTAATTTCTTTTTGTACCCACTTTATTATTATTACATTTCTCTTTTTTTGTTCACTGAATAATGACGATATCATGGTCTTGGCGACATCTAGCGGCTAATAATGGAAAAATCAACCAAATATTTTACCGAATAGTATTGCCAACTCACATTATAAAAGTTGCATTTAATTATACAATGTAAGGGCCATTAATCACATACACTTTCTTTTTTATTAAAATATAGGGCTTTTTGGATTTACCAGTGTATATAAGAGATTCGTCTTTCTCTGGCATGTTACTTTCAAAGGGCAATGGTTTATAGGCTGCAAAGGATGCTACAGCTGACGTACTGGTACTGCTAACTACATTTCCACTTAACTGAAATAAATTTACAAATATAAATAAATTCATTATGAATAGAATCCGCATATAAATTAGAAATTGAAAGACATTTTAAATGCACTCACATTAGAATTTCCCTTATTAGAAACTTCATCATCATCTTCGTCACTGCTTAATGTAAGAATAACAGGCTCAACCTCTGCAGGTCTGCGACCGCTTCGCGTACCGCGTCCTCGTACAGCTTGAACGGCACCTCGTCCTCGTGAACTTGAAATATTGGCATTGTATTGGAGACTAGTTTTACCCCTTTGTACAACCAATTCTGTAGATCTTTTTTTATCAACTTGACTGGCAGAAGTACTTGAAATATTTTCAGGGTTCCCCGGAGAATTTGATGCGGTTGAACCAGTTGCAGCTTGTTTAACGGGTACTTTTTTTGGAGGTTCCACAAACACTCTTCTACATCGTTCACATTTAGCATGATCATAACCACTAAAGCCACAACTTTGACAAATCGCGTAATAACCTTGAATTAACTTTCGCTGTGGTAATTCTTCACCTTTACTAGCAATTGCCGTCGATTTAGAGGTATTGTCTTTCGGTAGATCATCTTGTTGTGTGATTCCTGTAGGCGTGGAAGAGGTGCTACTCAAACTCGACGAACTAGATTGTTGGCTACTGTTACCTGAAACTGCATTGTTTACATTAGGAGCATTAGCTGCGGTGGTAGTGCCACCATGTTGTGCCATGCTCTCCTGTTGGCGACTCATTTGTAAACTTTGTTCTGCCCGTGAAATTAATTCGCTAGCAGATTCTTGTACTGAAAAACCCACTGTGACTACAAAATCAATATTTGCTCCAGGATTTTCTACACATTGTATGGTAGTATTACTATCGAATGGCACGCCGACCTGTTCAAGCAAATCTTGAACAGTACATGACTCTCTTGGTAAAGTAAACGTGATCAAACGCTGCTCCCCTGAAACGAGTATAACTAACATTTTGGCGCTATTGCGATCCTTCTCCGCCATTTGTTGTCCGCTTCTATTTTGCAGCACATGTTGCGTTTGAATTTCATAATTATTGTGGGAAGTCTGATGAACAGAGGATGCCGGTGCAACCACAGCTGTCGTAGGTTGCGTTGCTTGTTGAGTCTGCTGTTGCTGTTCGCAACTAGTTTGATGTTTTTGTGGAGCTACACGAGCAACGGGCACTGCGTGCATTGGCTGCCCAGCCGTCGGTAGTGAAATTTTCGCCCCACCCGGCGCTTGATGCAAAGCTTTCATTCCGGGATTCTGTATATTCTGAGTCCCTGCGTTTCGCTTTTTATATTCAGCCAAAGTCATGCAGGTGCCGTTCTGCATTTTAACCATGCGATTATCGTCGTCATCTTTGGCACCATAGTACGTCGTTAGTGTTGTTCCCCCCATTTGACTATTGGCGAGTACAGGGTTTATAGATTTTTGACCATCCTTTTTTACGAATACAGCTTGAATACTATCTTCTAAGTCCAACTCAAAATTTCCTCCAGATCCGGTAGCTGCTGATGTTGAAGTCGATGGCGTTTGAGGAGATTGTTGAAGTGATTGATCGCTGGTAATGGGTGGCGATCGAAATCGAGAAGTAGTACTAGCGATACGTGTCTGAGGTTGAGATTGCACCAAATGTAATTGTTGGTGTTGTGTGGAAACATTATTGTTGTCACCCAGTTGTGTACGATATATTTGTCGAATGCCTTGACCTGACATACTTTGTGGTATAATCTTGCCCTGTTGAGCTACTCCGCCGCTTAAAGGACTTGAGTTGTTTACCACCTGAGTTGCTCCCACAGAAATTTGAGCGTTTCGCCCGGCAACAATTGTGGCTCCACCTCTCGGTCCCCGAACTCCACGAGTTCGAGGTGGAGTATTTGCTGAAGTGCTACATCGTGGACGTGGCGTCCGTAGCACTTGGGCAGTGGTCACCGGCCCACCACCTGTAGCTGCAGCAAAAGTGGGACGTATTTCCGCTCGCGGAACTCCTGGAACTCCAGGCATCCGAGCAATCATTGTGCTCCCCATTGCCCCTCTACCTGCCTTTCCTCCCCGAGTACTGGCTGCGCGTATTAATGTAGTAGACGGATTTTGATTTGACGAAGCATTCATTATTTGCGTTTGCTGTGGTTGTTGCTGCTGTTGTTGTTGTTGAATTTGTATGTGCTGCTGTTGGCCTTGCTGCTGCTGTTGCTGGACAATTTGAGTGCTTACAGGAGATTGTCCTTGAAGGCTCTTTTGTAATGGGTTACCTTGCACTTGTATCTGATGATAAACAACATTTTGCTGCAATTGCTGAGGTTGTTGTTGAGAAGGCGCTGTTGTTTGCTGAGGTTGCGTTTGTTGTTGTTGTTGCGCAACCCTGGCCTGCACCAAATGAGCCTGTGTATGATGCATTGAACTGGTTTGCAATTGTATGTGTTGCTGTTGTTGTTGATGTTGTGGTGATTGATGCAAAATGGTCTGTTGTTGTTGCTGAGGTGGTTGCTGTGTGGAATATAAAACACGATTATTGTACAGTATACGTTGTTGACCCATAGGTTGTCTCATAATAATTTCCTGCTGTTGCGGCTGCTGAATCAATACTTGTTGTCCAGAAGGCTGCTGAACAATAACATGAGTATTACTCAGAAGTTGAGTTTGTTGCTGCAGCTGTGCAGTTGGCTGCTGAGTCTGCATTCTATAGATAATTTGTTGTTGCTGCGGTGGCTGCTGGTGCTGAGCAGGTGGTGAAACCTGATGTTGGACCTGAACTTGTTGTGTATGTTGGGGGCTTTGAAGAATATGTTGCTGCTGCTGCGGCGCTTGCGGTTGGTGTATCAATTGATGTTGTTGAGCAGGAGTTTGTTGAAACTGCTGTTGCAACGTTTGTGGTTGTTGCTGAATATAAACTTTTTTTTGTTGCTGTGCTTGTGTCTGCTGACCATGAGTAGAATGCTGCACAATGGCATTTGGCTGTACCAACTGTTCGGTGGTGTAATAAATTTGTTGTGGTTGCTGCGATTGAGGCTGGATATGCTGCATTTGATGATCGGTTACTTGCATATGTTGAGTTTCTTGTTGAATTTGATAACTTTGAATTTGATGTGGCTGCTGTTGGTGCTGTTCCATAACTTGATGCTGTTGTTGTTGCATCAAAACTTGCTGTTGTTGTTGATGTTGCTGCTGCTGTTGTTGTTGTTGCTGTTGATTAATATCTTCTCCAAGAATAGTGTAGTGAGCACCCGCTGCCGGAGGCTGATATTGCGACTGTTGTTGGGGTGTCTGATACACTACCTGCTGTTGTCCATCATTTTGCAAAAGAATTTGTTGACTCTCATCCAAAACAATTTGCTGTAGTTGATAAAAAAAAACACATGTACATTTCTATCCTTTTCTTCAAACCACTTTTCAAAACATGCCTATTTAATAACATGCAATATAATTTAAAAATCATTAATAATCAATATTACAATTTTGAAAACTGATTGTATTAGTGGGTTAGTGGAAAACAACTATGAACCTGTGGTCTATTTGGATTACTGACACCGACATCATCACTGGCCACATGAACTACTTGGACATCTGCATAAACTTGCTTTAAATCATCTAAACTTTGTATTTGATAATATGCCATTCTGGCAGCGCTGAAATGGAAGAAATGCAAATACACAATCAATTAGAAAAATTGTGATCGACAATATATGAATTGTATATTTTCTAAAACTATTCTTATTGACGCTTCCTAAACTACTCCCTAAATTTTAACATTAATTTCAAATACATTATGATCACATAATTGTAAATCGCACAGAACCGAATAATGTTACAAACCAACGAGAATAGCCATTAAAACACTAACAACAAGAAGTATCTAATAAAAAAATAAGAAGAGAAATACAAACCTTCTTATTAAAATATTATTGTACAATTTCTTAAGATTTCCGTCGCAGCGTTATATTTTGAGTTTTCGTTTTTAATACAAACCCAAAATTTTGAGCAGGTTGTAAAAATGCAAGGAGAAATGTAGTCCCTAAGACAAGAAAATTTGCCTTTTCTCCAGCACAAAAATTAAATATGGCGTGCTACTCGTCAACTGCATATCAACTTACATACCCTTAGATAACGAAGGGCAATGCCGTTAGAGTTGCAATAAGCAAAACTTAAAACAAATACATCTAGCGGACGAATGTTGCAATTATTTATTATCTGCTTATTTACTTTACCATTTTCGTAATGCCATTTTAGCACTTCAACTTGTTAATGGTACCATTAACTAATCTGGTCACCCGTATTCCGTGGTACCACTAAATTTCATTTTAATATATTTTACATCTATATAAATGCACTGAACTTTTCTGGAACCCATTTTCTTTATAATATTTTTTCGCACACTTTTCTTAATTTAGATATCAATTAAGTATTAAATGTTGATTGAATTTCGATTTGTTTATTTTATTTGTATTCATTGCAAACGCGACGGCAATCGTTTTCAGAGTGAACAACCACATTTTGTTTCATATGTTATTTGGTTTTTTACTTTATACTATTGTAATATAAAATGAAGGTTGCCAGATGGATTGATTTTGAATGTACAAGGTACATTTTTGTCTCATAAATCAGCTGCATTTCTTAAAATACAAACTCATATCAATTATAGAAGTGGATTGATTAATGTATGACTGTTTCTATGCCTACGTATGACTATTTTCTAGTACTTTACTTCAAAAATAGCCCAACTCGACATGATAATTACGAAGTACGTCGATTAATATGCATACAATAATTATAATTTATGATTGGTTGTATTACTTCAATACTGGCAACACTACAGGGGACGTGTCAAAAAAAAAAAAAAAAAAAAATTAGAAACTGCCGTGCTGGAAAAAAAGAGTTTACCGTTCAAACAGTTCATAGAAAAATTAAATGGAAAAGATTTAAACAATCAATTAATAGAATAAAACTGAACGTATTTTTAACAGGATTAGTTAACATCAGTATCACTAAGAGTCAAAGTTATTTCGTTTCACTCTGCCGACAATTTAACGTGTTCAACAAGTATTCTTGTCAACCATACAAAATAAACCGAACTAAGTTTGCAGTGGAGCAAAACCATGGCTCGGCAGCAATTTCAATATGATGAGAGCGGTGGCACTTTTTATTACTTTATTTTGTCGTTTTTGGCTTTGGTATTAATTCCTACAACAATTTACTCTTGGCCACGTAAAAAGAAAGAAGGTGAGCAAACAGCGCGGATATGTTTGTAAATCAGAACTGGGTCAAACTGATGATAAGGCCTGGTTAATACAACTTTTCATAGCGTTATGTTACAGTTTTTTGCTTTAAAACTTATGATCAAGACAATAGAGAAACTGTTGCTGTCGCTGCTCGATCAGTCTAAATAAAATTTAAGGAATTGTGAGTGTACTTCATATGCATCGAAACGCGAATCAAGAACTTAACGAGTATACTTATTTTTACATAGCCACCATAAAAATATATATTTCTACAAAGTTTCTTAAATTAACCAGATTTTCTACGGGAATGCAAAACAGTTACAGATTTATTTATGCGAATTATATTTTGTTAAATGTCATACATATCAGGAAAGAAATTAAAACATTACAGATTATTTCTCTTTTTAGATCCCGAAAAACTGAAGCAGGAGTGTCAATGTTCGGATTGCTTGAAGAAAAAAACCATTTTGGCCTCAGCTGATCCATACAGAGCTTTAAAATCCGTTCTTGTTAAAGCAATCTTAGTACTAGGATGGATTCTGTTAATTTTTTTAACTTATCGAGTTTCACAGTTTGACTATGAAATGGCCAGTTTCGATCCATTCGAGATTTTGAAAATTGAACCGACATCTTCAATGGCGGAAATTAAAAAAGCTTACCGCAAACTGTCCGTTGTTTTGCATCCGGATAAGGAAACGGGTGATGAAAAAGCTTTTATGATGCTTACGAAGGCCTATCAAGCTCTTACAGATGAAGTAGCGAAGGCCAACTATGAAAAATATGGTAATCCTGACGGCCCAGGAGCCATGTCATTTGGAATTGCATTGCCATCGTGGATCGTAGAGAAAGAGAATTCTGTATTGGTTCTAGGTTTATATGCACTGGTGTTTATGATAGCTTTACCTTCTGTAGTTGGCATGTGGTGGTATCGGTCTATTCGCTATTCAGGAGACAAAGTACTATTGAATACATCACATATGTATTTTCATTTTATACTTAAAACTCCACATATGTTACTTAAAAGAGCTCTAATGGTGCTGGCCGCTAGTTTAGAGTTTGACAAACGTCATAATTCACAAGTAATTGAACGACAGTCAGATAACGAGGAAGTGCCGGCGGTAAGTATGAAACTATTCTCTAAAAATTAAGATAACTAATTTCTTATATTCTAGCTGATACGCCAACTGCCAAATCTTAATGAAAAATGCAAAGAGCATCCTCTCTGTCGTATGTACTCTATTAAAACTCGAGCTATTCTTCATGCCCATCTTTCACGTATACCTCTGAGCTTGGAAACATTGGAAAAGGATCGACAGTTTATCGTAAAAAAATGCCCCTATTTGGTGCAGGAAATGGTCTCTTGTGTGCATCAGATTGTTATGCTCGCCTATGCACGTCGCGCTCCTCGTCTACCCAGTATTGAGACAATTGAAAATTGTATGAAGATGTCACCGATGATCATACAAGCCCTCTGGGAATTTAAGTCGCCGCTCTTACAGTTACCGCACATTACCGAAGACCATTTATACTTTATGAACAAAAAAAGACACATAAAAAATTTACAACAATTTGCCCAATTATCATCTGAGGAGAGTCGGCATCTTCTTAAAAGCTTGCCAGATTTTGAGTACGAAAATGTTATGAAAGTTCTCGGTCAAATGCCGTTGGTCGACTTTTCAATACGTTGCGAAGTTATAGATGACGAAAACACGAACGTGGTAACAGCAGGAGCTATTGTTACTGTCACCGTTACATTAATACGTCAAGACATGAAAACATTGTTCGGAAATTCCAAGGTGCCACAAAAGCAAAGTATCAAGTGAGGAAAACAAAGGTATTTTAATTTTTTAAAAATAAATATTACATTGTTTTGTAGAGATGATGAAGAGCGCGCTGAAGAGCAAGAGGGTGACGGGGTTGGCGTTGGCGCAGCGCCAATTAAAAAGCAGGCTCCATGGAGTAAAATGCGTAAAGGCAAAGGTGGAAAAGGTGGGAAGAAACCAGGATCGAATCAAAAAAGAAAACCTAATCCGCCGAAAAATTCTGCTGCTAGTGGTAACACTGACACGCAAGAGCAATCTAAATTGAACTCCGAAGCCGATTCTGATGCTGATGGCAGTGATTTAGATGAGAAAGATTCGGTTTCGGGCAGCGAAGATGAAAACGACAAGCAAACGAAAAATATATCTTCACTAACGGTTGACGATGACGACGAGGAATGGGAAAAACTTCAAGCCAAATTAAATAAGCGCGAAAAGTTCGAAGGCAAATCCCGCATATCACACACTGTACATTGTCCCTTCTTTCCAGAAGAAAAACAGGAATACTGGTGGACTTACATCTGCGATCGGAAATCACGTACATTGTTAACCGCACCATACTATGTAACAAATCTGGTGGAAAGGGAGGAGATACAATTGAAGTTCACTGCTCCACGATGGCCTGGTGTCTACACTTTCACCGTTTGTCTCCGTTCTGGTAATCACAAAAAAAAGAGCATTTCAATTCCTTAATTTTTAAAATATTTATATATATAATGATAATTCAATAGATTCATATTTGGGTATGGACCAACAACAGGAGCTGAAGTTAGATGTACAAAAAGCTCCGGCACCACCTACCGAACATCCTCAATGGGATCTAAGCGAGTCGGAACCTGAGCATAACGACCAACAAGAGAGTCTAAGTGACTATCCGACCGATACTTCTGACGAAGAGGAGAATTCCGAATAAAAAGCAATAAAAACAAACAATACCAATGCGCGAAACACCCCCACTAATACCCTCCTATATTTTTTAAATAATGAAGATACTATGCATTCGCACCAATATCAAATCATACATGCTGTTGCATCAGTAAACAATTGTCAAATTTATTTTTTTTTTTTCTCCTTATTCCATAGACAAGAAGAATCCCCTTTTTTCCTCTCTCCGAAATCGTGTATAAGAATTTAAGAAGTGTGTTGTAAATTTAACGGATATACAATACATACTCGGTTTTTACTAGTTTTTGTAATAAAAAAAGAAAAAAGTAATATTATTTCAATATATAGTCAAATTCAGAAAACAACAAAAGAAAAGAACTGAAGATAATTTATAAATACGCTCCATTACGCGCAATTAAAGGTTATCTTAATTTGATGTTGCTTCCTCTCGCTTGCTTTTAACAAATTGTTCCATTATATCTTTTGTGGTATTCTGCTTAATATTTGAGAAAATGGGGAAGGCGGGCTATTGCTAGTATTAAAAATTGAAAGAAAAAGAAACATTGTTTAAATAGTAAACGTAAATGTTTGTCTGTGCATTCGTAGTCATTAATAATTTATTCCGGTTATCGTTTTAACTATTATTTACAAGGATAATTTCCAACACAGGAAAGCGAATGAATATTCAATACGATATATATATATATATATAATTTGGGTATGAAAGCTTTTTGTATTTATTTTTTTTTTATTATTATTATTATTTTTCTTTTTTTTTTTTTTTTTGTTTATTTTTAAATGAACCTGTGACATTTATATACATACTGTTATACTGTTACTTACTGATTCTGCAAAATTTGGGTATTAAAGTGATATCTGTTAAGGTTTTAATATGTTATATTTATAGTCTAATTCTTAGTCATCTTTCGCAGCATTCTCGTCAGTTTTCGCCGTTTGGTCTTTCCAATTTCTGTGATGGTTTTTCTTTAGGTTTTATTTACTCTTCATCTTGTATATTTGCATCAATTTCCTGTTTTTGGTTTGACGCTTCGTTTGTCATTTCGGCACCTTCTTCAAGCATTTCATTTTCTAATTTCTTATCTAATGGCGGAACGATCAAATTTTCTTGATTATGAATTACTTTGTCGCCATCATCTTCAGTTCCTTTATCAATAGTTAAATCACTATTTGTAACTTCTATTGGGTCACTGTATTTGAGAATTGATTGTGATTTTTCGCAATCGATTGGTAAAAATTTTCCATCATTTTCCGTTTCACCATCTTCTTTATGGGAAGATTGGTATTCTTGGCTCTTTGTTCTCATTGGAAGATTTTCTTCATTTATTGTATCTTGAATTGATGATGATTCGTCATTATTAATTTTGGACGGTTTTAAGTTTTCTTCTGCTTCTGCTTCGGCTTCGGCTTTTGCTTCTTCCTGATCATTAGGTTTTTTATTAGAATCAATTAGGTTTTGATTTGTTCCCATTAAATGGTTATTAGTTGTGCACCTTGACGATGGGCTTTCTAATTTAATAGCCTTTCTTATTGGAATTGTTGATGGATGGATTGAGGAATGGAATAAAGGTATGCTTTAGATTAAAAATTTTCGTACAACAAATAATTCATGCATCGTTAGTAGGGAATAAATTTTGTTGATAAGACTGGCCGTTAACTTGACATAATTGCGAAAGAAAACAACTGCAAGAACAGTTAAGCAATGAGAGTTGAATATAAAAATTCCAAAAAGCGTCTCATTTTTAATCGAAGTTTTGCTTATTCAATGAACGTACCTTCTGCGCTTCTCCTACGAAAACTTCAGCTGCCGCTGTTTCTACCAAATCTTTTGTAACCATAACTGTACTTTCGCCATTTACTTTTTTCGTAACAATTATTATTATAGTGAAATATTATTAATTAGAAAAGTCACGTTTACCTTCAGTCAAGGCAGCCGGCATTGTCGCGCCACTCAATGGCTCAGTGCTATTATTGTTGATAGGTGATCTTTGTTCGTCATCCTTCTTGTCATCTTTATCAGGAGAAGCATCGATTTGTTCATTGTTCTTTAAAAGTTTTATGGAAATTTTCATTACTAAGATCACTTTACCAGCTGCTTGGCGTAAAGTTGAACGTTGTAAGCGATTACACTGAATATTACATTATGTGCATGCAGAGAAAGAAAGACACACAGCTTATAAAAGTTAGGAGAGAGAGAGAGCGCGAATATACGATAGCACAATTTTACAATTAGAGTTTTTATTGGCTTACTGGTTTAGCAGGTTCACCCCAATTACATAGAAAGCATATTTAGCACGCCATTCTAGCTAGAATTTGATTCATTCCGGTGCACGACCTTCTCTAAGAAAGCAAACAATTTTTTTTCGAGGCTGATTTGCAAAAAACAATCGAATGCCTCTTGAAATTATTGACATGAAATTTTAATCTTCTTGGAAAAAACGAAAAACAATTCATAACTAATAACTTTGCTCTTTATGCTTTTCAATCAATGCATGTTAGTTTTTTTTTCTTCTTTTGCTGTTGTTGTTTTTTTATCTTGTTCAAAATACAAATTTTATTATTATTATTATTAATATTAATATTATTATTATTATTATTATTATTATTATTATTATTATCCTCATATACATATGGTTGTGTTTAGCTCTTTGTTAAAAACATTGCTGCCTAATTAAACATTACATAAATTTATGCATGTATGTGAGTTTGTTTTGCTTATGTGAATTCAAAATACATAAATAGATAAATAGATAAACAGATACGAAAGATGGGTATGTGGTATATGCATTTGTTAAAACTTGTAGATAACTTTGCGTCCGTTGCACGGATATAATGTAAATAAATGAGTTCGTGTGATTGAGTATGCGTGCATTGCGTTCACAATTAAGTTTAAATCTGTCTTTAGAGCGCTTTTTCCTTTTTTTTTTTTTTTTTTTTTTTTTTTTTTTTTTTTTTTTTTTTTTTTACTTGGTTTTATAAAAACATCAACAAAATGTTAAGAAATTATATAAAAAATAAGTGTAGCGCATGGAATGGAGAATAAAATAGAAATTAATAAAGAAGGAAATAAATAATAAAAACTATAGAAAATAAAGTGTAGTAAACGAAAAAAAGAAAAAAAAAAAAAAAAAAAAAAAAAACCAAAATGTTATGTTGAGGATGTAACGAATGCTTTCCACAGGTTAACTGCGGCCATATGTAATTGTAATAATGAAAGGACTATGTTACCGAAACCCTTAAAAGACAGCTGTGTTTGTTGTGAATAATGACCAGTAATGATGTAGTTTTGTTTGTTTTGCAAATTCAGATTTAAATTATATATATAGAAAAAAAAACGCCTGCTTGCATAAAGTGTCTGAAAAAATAATAAGGAATAAATTCAAACCTCTGGCTTCTCAGCATTTTCATCTTCCTTATTATGCTCGGTGCTTTCGTTCTCTTTATTCTCGCCACCATTATCATTACCTTCGCCATTTTCCTGTTTTAATTCGATTTGCGTATTAGAAACCGCTGTAATGTCTGCAGCAGCCACCTTCAAGAATTGCTCGAGAGTATCAATTTCATTTGCCAAATCGAAGGCATCGTAGTCGCCACAATAGTCTTCCTCATTGAAGAGTTGTGGTGGCAGTGCATGTCGTGGCTCCGGATCACTAACCGTTGCCCCATTGCTGGTCGACTTATTTTGCATAAATTCCTTATCCGCTTCACGTCCAGGCTCTGTAATATCAATGACTTCATACTGAATATTCTTGCTGTCAAGTATCATAAGGACGCGCTGCTGGCGTTTTTTCACCTGCAAATCCAAAGTAACAAAATAATGCCAATGTGTACCGAAGTCGACGAACAAGCGGCTTCTCAGTGTTACTTGAAATTCTTAATTATTCGTTTAGTATCAAGATTCAGTCCAATTGCCATTTTGTAAGTATGCAAATAATAATATCTAAGAATAATAAATGTTTAGGATCACGTACACGACATGGTCTGCCGACATTAGTTAACCACAGTGTTGCTTCTAAAGAAAGACTTTTTTTTTTTCTCTCAAAATATCGAATTGTATTCGATTCGTACAGAAATTAAAATCATGCGAGAAAAAAACGAAAAATTAATTACTCAGTGAATCACCACCAGTTTTTGTTAATAAAAAATGGCAGAAAAAGCGATAGAAGAGTGATTCATTTTGCTTATACGCTGGGCGTTGGGAAGGTTTGATAAATTATTCGAAATTCGATATAAGAAAGTATTTACATTTCATATCGAGTTAGTAGTAACTTGTATATATATGTACGTATATAAATAGGCATGATAGCAAAAAATGTAGTTAAACAATGATATACCATTTCAAATAGAAGAAAACCGCTTTATTAAAATTGAACAAGAAGCTTTCCAAAATTCAATTTTCATCTCTTCAATTTGGCTTTGCTCAAAAACTCAAAAGCTAATTACGTCACGGGTCGAGAGAGATATAATAGACAGATAAACTTCAACGTGTGAGTTAAGACTTTTTATGCTTTCTAACAATTCGATTTTTGTAGTTAATTTTGATAGCTGATGCGAACGAACCAACGATTTTCTCAAAAAAAAAAAATGCCCTTTCATTGCCAGTTATCATTTAATAAATTTTTGCAAAACTTCTGTTTTTCTTTGGTACAAATATTAACAACCTTAAGCGTACTACGTGTGAAGCTTTGAAGATTGATATAAATAAAATAAAAGAGCAACGATATCAACTCGATTATGTGTCAATATGCTGCATGAAACGATCTATCAAAAATTTCCCCGTTTTAATTACCACTACCCTGTGTATTTAAAAATCTCACCTGTTTACGTCCTATGACTATATTTCGTGTAAACTAACCATATTTTGCATTGTATTAACGATCAAAATGCACTAATTGATTGTATAGAATATATCGAGTCGATTCGGTTGCTAGAATAAATTTACCTCAACTAATAGAGAAAAATAAACGGAGAAGAATCGTGAAAACTTCAATTAATCATATAAATCATATAAAATCTTTTAAAATGATATTTCCTAATTCTTATGTGTGTACATACATCGTTACCGGAATTTAAATATTCAAAGAGTGATGTGGCACAATTATACTGCTATCAAGCTTTTGTTCTTTCATGAAAACAAAAGCAAATTGTATATTTGATAAAATATGATAAGTAGGGACTTAATTATCATCATAATACACCACCCCCACATCTATATATATATATATATATATTCATATGTATTCTTATATATATATACATATACGTAGATATATATATATATATATTCAGGCTTGATTATTTAGCTAGTCCGCTCGCAAATTTTATTTCGGAAGTGGATATACATGTATGTACGTATATGCACTTATACTACGAAAATTATTGGTTTCACAAACAAAGCTAATATTACGCTGCCACGCCCACACATTGAAGGTTATATTGAAGAGAACACATCGTAACACTTACCTCCTTGTTACCAGACATACCACTAATATACACTTTCAAGACCATGGCTATTGCTTTTCGTTTTTTTTTTTTTAATTTTTTTTAATTTTATCAACGCTATATCCAATTAATTATGATGACTTTGTAGTGGTTCTTTATGCGAAATTTCCTCTTTAGAATACAACAAGAAATATTTTTAGACTTTTTTATTCTTCTGCTGCGCTGGCGTTTACGTCGCTGTATATCAATTGATTTTATCGTTGGCTTTTCTCACTTATATTCTTGACTTGTTTGCTTGTTCTACTGAACTGGGCAGTGATTCTGTTTGCTTCTCCGTTCTTAAAAACGATATTCCATTAAAGTACAATTCTACGATGCAATACGAAGTTTTTGTTTTTACTGAAATTGAAATCTTAAAATCATATATACAAAATTTGTAAATAATTGCACATTGCACTAACTAATTATCGGCTGATGCCAGTTTACTTGCTATTTTCCAGGATTGCCAAGCCTTCAATATGTGCGCCAATATATTTATTTTACAGACGTGGCAGCTCATTAATGTATATCATCGCAAATAGAAATTTTGAAGTCTTATCCAACTAAACAACACGAATGCCAAATACCTCAAATTATTGTTACACGCATTACATATATATATATATATATTATATTAGTGTTAAATATATTAGTGTTAAATACGTATATATATATTAGTGTTAAATACGTACATGGGACAGGTCTTTGATACGATGCATCCAAGATCTAATTCGGAACTTTTTCAAATGTAGGATGCATAATACAAATTATATAAATCTCTTCTTCTTCTTTCTCTTGAATGTTCCGCGAGTGAAGAACAGATGATTCCCCGCGTTACAAAAAAAAGCACAATGTGAACACAAATTGCTTTAGCTAGAACTTAATAAAGTTGAAAATTAATTTGGCTTGTCAATTAAAATTAACTTCCTATGTTTATTTGTTGACACTAGTAAATGGTTCCACATTTTACAAGTTTTGCGACCGTCACGATTAATTTTATTGTTATTAGTTTTGGGGTTTATTGTCGTTTTTTTTGAATATATTACAGATACCAAGCAAGGTTTAAATGAATAGAGTGAATCAAGATTCAGATAGACAAAAATAAGATAAGCGAGAGATTGTAGTTCGCCACAGTTGCGTAAGGTAAGTGGTCATTGCGTTGATTTTGTGCAAATGATCACCGCATTTGATGTGGTTAAACTTTAATCTGTTGATGAGGCGCATACGCCGCGAGCAACGTTGAAAAAACTGAACCATGGTATAACATTTATTTGCGAAGCCGAAGAATATAAACGGCTATCTGTGGTGAACTATTGTAGAACTAATCAAACCAATTTAGTTTTAGAGACACTAACAAATTTTGAATTCCTATTGACGTTTTTAACTAATGTTACCAGATGGGAAGTCGTCTATTCGTAAAATTACAAGTACAGTTACGGCCGCAAATTATTGTCACAATGAAAAGCCGTGTTCACCTACCTTACCGTATAGTTCTATAAATAAACTAAATCAAATCTGTATAAATGTACACAATTAACGTATGCTTTGAAGAGTAAGAAGAAGAAAACTAATATAATTGAAAACAACCAATGCATGAACACAAGTACAATATTGTAGTCGTGCAAACCCGTCCATTAACTATCAGATTCCAGTTCACTTGAAATAGTTATTCATACGTTTTCGTGTTAATATACAAAAGTTGCACACAATTTTGTAAAGGCATAATTCCCGTGAAAGTCGTGATACTGGAAGATGCCTAAAGCGTCAACTGACGTGGTGCAAACTTAATAAACTTAACTAACTTGTTGAACATTTTTATCTTCATAAAAAACCACAAATTAGATTTTTGTCGGCATATAAAGCTTGGTTTTTATGGGAACCCCTATGTATAGTTGGTGTTAAGGATTACTTAATATAATTTATTTATTTTCACATATTTTGTTTAGTGTATTGTTTTTAAATGAATATATTTTGACAATTTAGCAATTTTATAAAGGCCACTCCAGTTCCTAAGAAAGGTTTAAGAAAATTAAAGTAAACTGCGTTTTCATTCCATAACGGTTTATTTGTACTTTCTGCTGCTCTGGTTGTTGTAATTTGTTGCGATTTTTTTAGAGCTTTTACAATAATTGTGGCTAATGGGTTAGTAGTTATCATAAAAATTGTGCTTTTAATTTTATTTAATGAATTTTCATAAAACTTATGCACCTCAGTCTGCTGCACGTAAAATTTAAAATTTGGGTATAATTTTATTTGATTTGAGATAAGAAAGTCAGCTGTTAGTTCCTAGCATTCGAGGGCCCCAGGTAAATACAACAACAACAAAATACTTCTTGCTACTTTCACGGTTAATGACAGCGACGAAAGTGATGATACGTTAGAAATAAGGTAAGCAAAGAAGAACATGGACTTTCGCATCCGTTAGCTTTTGTTTGCTGGTAATGCTGCCAAAACAAGAGATAATCACTTCGCCGAAAAAATATTAAAGTGGAAATCGTTACGATAGCGATTAGATCTGATGGTTGAATTTTATTATATTAGTTAAATCCAAATAATTTACAAATTTTACCATGAAGTAAAGAGAAAACAGGTCTTATCCCTTTACTGCTTACATAGGCTCATTGCCAATGTAACCAAAAGCAGTCAGAGTTGCATTTATCAGTTTTTAAGTAGTCATGACTGGGTTGACAAACGTTTAATTTACAAATTCGCTCGACCGGAGCAGAGATTCGAAGACAGACGTATTAATTTGCTCTGCATTTATTTTGCATAGTGTACTAATTTCGCTTATTGGCTTGCCTTGCGTTAATCCATCTATTTCTTCCTTAAATGCGTTTTTTGGAACAATACCGTATGTAAGTTTGGCGGCATGTATAATTTATTTAGCAGAGAGCGTTAGTGATGGGCCTGTAGTTTTCAATAGCCAGATAATATTATTATATCATTAGCCGGTGATATTTGGAATATTCTTCTATAGCGGTTACCCCTTTTTTATTAATGATTACGCATAACGTCTAAAAACGTGAAAGCCATAATTTTCTGAACTATTTGAAAATATATATCTACAAACACGTCCAGAACAAAAACTTTTTATTTCTGACCAACAGTTCAGTTTCAGGAATGAACATAATACTGTTGAGTATTTACATCGTGTCGTCCCATATTTTGAGAAGCCGTTTGAAAATAAAAGTTACTAGATGGGTGCATCCCTGCATGTGCAAAGTACCTTTGATAAATTCTGGCATGAAAGGGTACTTTTTGAACATCCAAATTCTATTCTTTGGTAAAGTCGACAATGATGAATGCAATGTTTATAAAATTGAAGTTGGAGTGTTATGGGGAAGCGTAGTAAGTACGTTCAATACTCTGTACAGATTTTCTGATCGCTGGCAATATTTACTACGTCTTTGATTTAGAAATTAATATATTTTTGTTCTTCAAGTTATTTTAATGAATTTACCAAGTCTATATAATTTCTTTTTATTTATTTGCACATCATATCTGAATATTGTTATATTCTTTCAATTGCGGAACAATAACCTCTGCTATATTTCTTGCCGTACACACCATTCACTTATTGTTTTTTTAGATATTTTGTAGATTACATATAAATTAAATAAAAGAAATATATAAAATAAAAGAAAAAAGTATGCAAATATTCATAACAAAGTTACTGCCTCATCATTCGTAAAAGATGAAGTGTGTAAATCAACAAACATACAAAATCACTGTTATAGAAAAGAGGCTTAATCCTGCCCTCAGTTCGTTTTTTACACAAAAGTGGCATAATTCACCAGTTTTCCGTTACATGAAATTACACTTTTAGTAGTATTTGCTTCCTTTAATTTATGCTTTAATAAGTAAATTATAATTTATTTAAATTACTTTTCCGAGTCTTCATGCTGTCGTTGGGATGTACACAACCAACTTCAGCGTGTTACTCAATTGAAATAAAGAAATAAAGAAAAGAGTCAAACATAACCTAGAAAGCAAAAAATTGAAAAAATCTTAGTAAAAAAGCATCAATATTTCATCATCACGTGAAATTTTGAATATCATCAATGGATTTCTATAAAGTTACTAGATCATGGATATAAATTTAAGTTAACAGCACGTTACTCAATTTAACATAAACAATTTCATCACCAATGAGTTAAACATAACCTAGAAAGCAAAAAGTCAAAAAATTTAGTAAAAAAGCATCATTATTTCATCATCACGTGAAATTATGAATATCAGCAATGGATTTCTATATAGTTACTGGATTATGGATCTAAATTTAAGTTAAAAGGTCCAATTCATATCAAATACAAACAAAAAAAAAAATAAATAAATAAAAAAATAAATTACTTTTCCAATTAATTGATTGTTTACTTTCTTCCTCCTCTTTTCATTTATTTGCATTTATATTGTTATTCATATAACAATGATATCAATAAGATTTCGTAAAAAGTGCTTTCAATTCAAAAGCAATCTATTACGACCACCTAAGTAAATTTTACTATCGAACTTATGTTTCGACACGTGAGCGAATTTGTTATCGACAGCGACAAGCCGACCCATAGTTTGTTATATTTGCGCTTCAATTAAAAATTTTTTAATGACCTTAACGAATAAGAATATATGGATTAATTTCCAATCATTAATGTTAATGCGAATAAACGTAAAATATCGTATTTGAACATTAATTCTCATGAAGGTTTTGAGCCCCGTAATAATGTTAAAGGAGCTAAGGAAGCTTATGCTTTCTTACATTTTTGTTATGGAAATTCATTTAATATTCCTTATTTTTAAAAGATGGCATTCATCAATCTTGAAGTGACGAAAACTCCTTTTTTTTCCCTTATGTTTAAATAAGCAAATACTTTTTTGCCGGAAGGCAAATAAATAAAACGATTGAACCAATTTTAAAAATTATTAGTTTCCTTTTTTTTTGGAAAATTGGATGAATTGCGAATGTTGCTAAGTAAAGAAACATGTTTATTTATTTGATTTTCTTTTTATTCAATTTTTTCCAGTTTTATTTTTAACTTTATTTTTTTTGTTTTTTTTGTATATATTCATTTCACTTCATTTTTAAGTTGATCTATAAAACTACATTTTACATACTTTTCGCATTTTATTTTAGGCTGAGGTTAAGAATTGAGTTTAAGAACCACTCATCATTAACACTTATCTTAAAGATATATTGTTGCGAATTTACTTGTCTTGTTTGTCAATATACTTGAGAATAATGAATATAAATAGTATGCATTTTGCTTTTTCTATTGAATTCTTTCTCTTTTTAGTCAATCTTGCAATTATTTTTATATATTAAATATATGTCTATATTTATTATAATTAATGTTATTTATAATTTAGTAGTAAATGTGTTTTTATTTTTGTAATTTGTAGCATTCATTAGTTGTTAAATTTAGTGGTAGTACACAGTATGTTGTCCTTTAGTTATACGCAATTCAAACTTTAATGGTTTACCTGCAGGTATATTGAGGTGTTGCTTAATTATTAAAATCTTTATTTGTATTTAACGTTGGCCAAAATATAGCTTGCAACAAACTTATAAATTGTGCATAAATTAAAGTATGTATAAAAATAAGAAAGAGAATTATGTTTTTTTTGTTTTTTCTTTTTTGCTTTTACTGTGACAGTGATGGCGCTGATAGAATTAAAAGATGAGAAAATTAAGCAGCGGGGTATTTTGTAGCGACTAGTAATATAGTGCGCCTGAGGTCCGATTATGATAGATCTGAAATCGAATATTGGCCATCAAGTGAGTAAATATTTGAAAAGAAAAAAAAAAAAAAGAAGGAAATAATAGATTAAAACTTACAGCTGGGAGCAGCTTCATAACGTCTTATTATTTGATCGTGCGTAAATTTTACGAAAGCATCATATTGCTCTGCAAGTTTGGTGTTTAGAACAGCATCATATTTTTCTCGCAATTCATCTTCACGCTCTTTTAGCATACGTTCACAAATTAATTGCACCTGATGTGAGTTTAATGAAAAGAAAATTAATTTTCATTTTAATAATTTTTCCAAAAAAAGACGCTTAAGCTTACCTGTTTAAACGTAAATAACCCTTTTTCAGGATTTCGCATAATATTGGGAGGACTGTCGGGACGTCGTGGACTGTCGGAACCCATTTCTGAGCCACTAGATTCCGAGTCTTGCATACACTCAAGAGCTACCGTAGAGAATGGTAACTGTTTGCGTCTGTGCAGTCTTTTGATCTCATCGCGTATATTTTGTGACATTTTGGTGGGCGACATTGTTGACACACCTGCATCGGCAAACGGACTTAATTGGGGCTCCTTAACAAAACGACTGCTGGGGCTTGAAGGATTTAAAGCGTCACGAGCCGTCTGACAAGAAGTACCAGCTGCTCGGGAAGGCGACACGCTACCAGCTTGTCCATATGGGTTACAGCGTCGCCGTTTGGTAGGTAATTGATTTATAGACTCCCAATCAAGTGCACGTTTCAGTGTTGCACAAGCCATATCGCAAATAAGTGTAAGGGATATTTACTTGCAAATAGCGGCACCTTTTTTGTATTTTTTGGCTTGCAATCTAAGTTGATCAAACCAGCAGAAAAAAATTATTAGAATTAAGTATATGATTAAATTTGTACTTCTCAAATTGATTTTGAAAAGATGCACAGATTGTTTTATACGGTCCCATCTTTTAATACATAAAATAACCGAAAAATCCCTATTTCTTTCACATACATACCCACTCCAAGAAAGCATATGCTGAGTGTGTGCGTAAAATGTATGTGAGATAAACCAATTTGTCAAGCTGAGAATTATAAAATGGAAGATAACAAAGTGACAATGAAAATGTGGACTTTTCATTTTTTTGCTTTTGACAACATAGACAAGATCACTTTGTTCTATTGGTTTGATTTTAAAAAAATGATTTTTTCGCTTACTTTGATTATTTTTTCGCAGGTTTTTCTATGTATTCGAATTCTTTCGTAAAAATATGTAATTTTTTGACGAACAGAGATTTTTAAAGGCCACTATAATGCTTAATAAGTCTTATTTTTTATTTATAGAGTTGGGAAAATTGGGCACACTCATCAAGCGGTAAATTTGCTCGACTTCTTTGAAAGAATTAATTAGTAAACCATATAACGATGCAAAACTTTTATTTCTCACCACAAAACGATAATTTATTTTGACTTATAAAGCAATGTGGCCGCAAATATGTTGGCATCCGTGATATTTGATGCTTTTTGCTTTCGCTTGTTAATAGAGTTTCCATCATTTTTTTCCAATAATAGTTGCATTATTTTCATAATCGTTGCAGTATTTTTGAATTGTACCACAATGCGTTTTAGTGGTACTATAATATACATATACAGATTTGCTTTTCATCTGTAAGGAGTCTTCAAGAAAATCGCTTTATACAATAGACTATTAATTGTTGTAGTTGAATTATATATATATTTGGAGAATTAACGTCACTGTAAAGCATTAACGCGCAGTTTTTGATGTCACATCTTGGGATCTGAGTATACAATAACATAAAAATTTTTAATCATTGTAGTGTTAGTATAAGCAATAATTTTTTACTTCATTATAACTTTACAAACTATTATTGTTAACCACTTCTTAAAAATTATAAAACTCCCAGAATAGTGGCGATGTACATTTTTATTTACACTTACGATATACATGCAGATAGAATGTACAGTACGATAAATAAATGTGTCGTCTGTTGTGTCAAGCATGTGACATAAAAAGAAAAAAATTGCGATACTGCGGAATTTTACAACGTTGTAATGTTTGTTTGCATTGCTGTTGTCATAAAATGAACCATTTGTTATGGTAATAAAATTTGTAATTTCGCAAAAACATTTTCTTGAGCTGTTATAGAAGAGTGTATATAGTAGTTGTATCGGACAAAATTGCGTATGTGAAAGGCAAGTCTTTAATGTATTGTTGAATTTAAAAAAGAAAATAAATACACGTGACAAAATAAGAACGTAGAAGATATTGTCGTTAAACCAGCACTAACAAAAACGACCTAAGGGATACTTAAAAAGCAAATAGCGGTTTCTGCATTCTGAAATAGAACGTAGAACATAGTTAGAAGCCGCGCTTGAATAACATTCAGGCCCTAAATAGCTTGGTGATTTTAATGCATAAAAGTAAATTAGCAAATATTTTTTTGCAAAAATCAGACAATTATCTAATAAACCTTAAGAAAAAAGAATAGACATAAGAATGTATATACATACAACGTGTTTAATTTGGTGAAAAGTCGAACAATATTAGCTGAGAGTGAGTGTTCAGTGCTCATTGAATTTTATTGGTTGCAACATCTTAAAATAATTTCCTTTTTAATATTTATTATAATCCTAATATATTATTAAATCGTGTTATAATAATGTTTTTTTTTTTTTTTAAAAAAAGAGGACAATTTTTCTTATGATTTCTTTTAAGTCATGCTTAAAAGTTAAACTTTATAGAACCAACAATTCACTGAATGATAATGTAACGCTGGCACCATAATGGTTAAATTCATAATTAACTTATTAAAAAAATTAAGGGAGCAAATTATTGAAAGCTAACCCATTATATGGTTTACTTGCAAATTATGCTGACCAGACGCCATTTAATTTTTTTTTCTAGCGCAAATGAAAGAAGAGCATAATTTAGTGCAACTTACGCGAGTAACTATCAACAATGATCTATATAGCAAAAAATCACTATACGCAGCAAGTTGAAGAGAAAACCAAAGAAAGAACTGATATAAAACTGTTTAAAAGGTTTACAACTCCGTACACTTAAAAAGAAAAGAAAAGCCATTGCCCATCAATTATGGCTTTATTCAATAAACTCTTCTTTTCGTCGCCTACAACATCCACATCCGAAGCTAGCAACTCATTGGCTGCTACGGTGAGTTCTCTTTCTCATCAGCCAGGTACTGCGTCGTTGGCAAATACTATTGTTGGTTCACTCTCGGGTACAACATCCGCGGCCACAGGAACTTACTCAAGACAGAGTAATAAACAGAGATCAAATCATAATCAGTCGTTACCTTCAAAAAATTATTTAACGTAAGTTAAATTTTATTTGTATAAATGTTTTAGGGTTTCGTAGATTCTGGTTTATGCTTTTATTTTAGATAAGAGATTCAATTTTTTCTAAATTAAAAATTCTATAATACACTTCATCATAGTGGAAGCTACTGTGTTCACTATGTATGGAAATTTGCATTCATCATTGTGCACGAAGTCATACATGATCGTAGAGTAGGTTCGTATATTTGCTTTACTTGGATTAATTCTGTTCACTCGCGAACTCTTATCGCGAACTTATAGTAGTAAGAATTAATAAAGAAACTCACGTGAGTCCCGCCCGCTTTCATCGTTAATGTAATCGGAAATGTCTAAAGATAACTTGACCATTACAGTTAAATTTATGCTTGAGACTAAAAGGACATAGACGCTGTTTTTTTTCTATATATATATATATACCGTATGTATGTATATATGACCATCATAAAAGTAGCATATGACTTCTAAAAGCTATTCTTTTTCTCTAATATGCAATTTAAGTGTAATCAGTTAAGTGCATTCATATACACAAACATTAAAATTCATATATACGCTCACATATAGGTATATATTTGTTGTAATTACTTGCTTAATATAAACAGTAACAAAAAGTGTTTTGACGCCGTTCGTCAGGCGTTCCTATTATTCTCTTTATCTTTATAAACATTTGCACTCTTTTCTATAGACTAACAGGCGGACAAGCGGACAGGCAGACCGGCACAATTTACTCACGAATGTAAATAAACAAAAACAGAAAGAGATAAATTATTTAAAATATTTATAGTTTGCGACGAATTTTCGATACGCACGCCTTTAGTACGATTTTTATTTAATAACTTAAAGGGCATTGAAATATATTTGGGTTCTTTTTGTTCGGCTAATAACTACGACTCGGGCGTAACTACAATCGAACTGCATTTTATTTTTAAGCTCAAGTATTGTTTCAATCGTTTAAAGTTTCCATCATTTACTTGCTTGCTACATAAATTGCTTTAATTTTCAGGTCACGGTAGGCGTTTCGATCCAAAGTTCGTTTACGCGCTTCTTTTCATACGTTTCAAAAGTGGTATAAATGAAGTAATAAAGTTGATAGAGCAGCAATTTAATGACGCTGAATTTATTATAAAAAAGAAATCACATGACTTGTTAATCGCTCAGTGACTCTCGTGATCATTATGTCATTCAAATATATTTATATATATATATATATGTATAAAAAAAAAAATATATATATATATATATGTGTGTGTGTGTTGTGTGTGTGTGTGCGTGCGGTTGATTTATACATATTCACATGCATTCAATTGTTTTGTATTTAATTTTCATTAATACTACAAAACTTTTATAGGAAATTATTTAAAGGTTGCCCATCTGTTTGCCCTTCTTCTGTGTGCGCTTCTTTTCAATATTTATGCATTTTAAGTGCATTGTAAACAATTTGTGTTTTAGAAAAACACTTTTTTTTTGTATTTTGTTATTGCTTTTGAGAACGTTCTCCATCAAGCACGTGCTCGTTATTCAATTAATTTTCAAATGATTATTTCTCTTAAAGATTTGTGATTGTCATAAAGATATGTGTAGTAATTGGCAAGTATCATGCCCCCACCAACTGAGCACTCAGTATATAGTTAGGATTAAAGTAAACTTTATCTTACTGGAGTTTAAACCTATGGACATTGACGTTGGGTACACGCGATTCTTACCCATACGGCTACGCTTGCGGAAAATAAATTATTGGTCTAATAAGGTTTATGTGATTATCATACATGAATTTTACGTTAGCGTATTTCAATATCATTGTTCCTATGAAGTAAAGGAATAGCTGATTCCAAGTATATACTTACACGTATGTATATATAAAAAATACCATATCAATCCAGAAAATGTTTAGATATATTCTTATCCTAATGGACGTGATTCGCTAAATCAATTGGTTATAGGCGAATAAGTTGCGACCTACAGGATTTATCGATAATCACGATTTGTTCGCCAAGATTCAACGACGCACAGTGATCTCCTTAAACTGTAACTGTAAGAAAATTAGGATTTTCTTATGCAAAAACATTACACATTACACATAAAATATTATTCTTATTTTCTAGATCTAGTTTTGCGATTAGTGTCCCGGCAAGAATGAGGAATCTTATCTTTTAAAGCTCACTGCCTACTTCTTCCAAGTCTTGTATATATAAGATATATATATATCATCTCTCTTCATTGCATCCACGATTAAACAAAAAAAAAAAAAAAAAAAAAAAAAAACGACAAAAAGTAGAGTAAGCCTCTTGCAAAAGAAATTGCAGATAGTCCTTCAAAAAAATGTTTCCCCAATAAAAAATTAATTCTTATTTTTTCAGTTTCGACTCATTCGATTTATTTGTGAGAATGTAAAGAAAATATATATATATATATATTTTTTTTTTTTTTTTTTTTTTTCGTATATATAAGAGAATATTCGTGTCGGCTTGAATGCTAGTCTTTGAAAAGAGAGCTAAGGATCAAATGAAATAAATTTTTAAGGCCATGATTTTAGAAATAAGGAAAAGCTTTCGATTTACCTCGTTTTAGTGTTTACTTAATAAAAATGATTGCCAAGAAATAAATGGCAAAGTTATAGCCAAATGGTGAATCGATTCAGAAATTCCCACCTGTAAGAATCGCGACTAGTTGCAATTCTTAATACGGTCGAGTTTACTTTGGTCGCAGCTATAGCGTATGCTCGTCAGTCGGTAAAGCCATAATCCCACTTAGCTACGATCCCCTTTTTCTCTTTTGTCAACGTGCTACACGAATAGGCGACATCTCAAAAAAAAAAAATCGATTACAAATTCCCACTCGCCAAGAGCACATTTTATGGAGGTCGTGATACGTTACAAACATTTTGTGAATATAATATACAATCTCTTGTAACGAATATCGCTAGTAAGAGAATTGTATTTGCCTTAGGGTTATGATTTTTGATATCTGCTATCTAAAGCCATAAAAAAATTTTACTTTGTAAATATATAATGTGTATAGCATTTTAAGGAAATAACATATGAGGGATCGCGCGTTGAAAATAAATATTTGCGGAGTGTTAGGGGCGTTGCGATATGCATTTTTGGACCTTGTAAAGTGAAGTACAAATTTATCTTGTACACTTACATAGATAGCCAATAATTTAAAAGTGCTTATAATATAAATCAATACAAACACATCACATACCGCGCTACCGATATGTAGGCATCAAAGTATTTCGGTTAAAGTAACTTCTGCAAGAAGCTCTATTTTAGCTCATTTACTAAATGAGAAAAAAAAAAGAAGTAAATTCTTTCTACAAAAAAATTTATTAAGATTGCAGTAGCAGCCTTCATATGGACAAATCAAATGTGATTTCTTGAAGATCTATTAAAAATCATACGCTGAGGGAGACCATGGGTAGGCTAAAGTATACAATAGCGCAGGGCTTAAGATCTGCCCGTTCGGCAAGTAGGTTCCGTCCGTCCGTCCGTCCGTTTGCTCTTACAAGGATGAAGCAAGTTCATTTTTTCTAGTCGTAACCGTCGGTCGAGTGTTCGTGGGACCAAAATTTGAAACCCCCTTCATATTTACCGAATTAGCTAACTCAGCAATAACACGTGCATCGGTCTCTTAATGTCTCGAATCAATCCTCTTAAGGTGGCATCTTACTGTAGGCCAAAAAACGTAAAAATTTCAAGTTCAATGCTTAGAAAGAAGTGAAGATATTACAGACAACACTACGCTTTATATAGAAAGTGAAGATATTTGAGAAAAAGCATTAACTAAATCACGGTAAAGTTATACTGTTTTGAACATAGACAACGAAATTTCCTTTTAAATCGAATTCACATCTTATCAAAATGTCTTGGATAGGCCACAAAACATGCCTGGAAGGGTTTGAGATTAATTTACGAATTTGCGGACTTTTGTAAATATTGCAAAGCAAGCAATAAGAATTGTATAAGAACAACCGAAAATTAGACTAAAGATATCGGTTATGTCCCAATAGATCAATGAATGGTCTATTTAAGCGCACGATTGGGCAATCGTATCTTTTTCCATCATTTATTGTTGGCCGACAATAGCTGATAGGGTGTATAGACGCCCGCACAGTTAGACTATTCTGGTTGTTGTTTGCCCTTTTTGACGCAAAGCTGAGATTATTACAAGTGGAAACGGTGCAGTCGGTGCAGGACGAAAATACCGATGAGTGTAGCGAATAAAGACAAAGAAACACATTGCAATACGCATTTCAGTGATTTCACCATTTTGCTTCTAACAAAAAGTTTATTCCATGTATTGTGCACCAACACTTACAATCTATTACTTCTTTTAAGCAAAATATGAATTCCGTGCGGACAACGGTTAACGTTTTGAGATTGAGCACAACAGGAAAGTGTTGAAATAACAACGGAAGCCTGCCCAAACAGACAATAGGTCTTCTTAACCGAAAAGAGTTAATCGATAGAAGTAATATCTGTCTATAGCAATGGGGAGAGTGGTACATTCCTGCTCGAGTTTTGCCGAATGGCGTCGAATATCATTATGATGAGAAATGACGATATCATGGGTTTTGGCCTACTGCGCTGATTTTTCGGGATCACATCAGTTGTTGTTTACTTTGAATTAGACAGTTGACTCGCCGAACTTAGTTTTAAGCAGATTTAAAAAGAAAAAATATAAAACATGGTGCACGGGGGAAGGGAAGAAGAAGAATAAGTGCAAAAATTTCATTTACATTTGCGCGTCGATGTCTGTCACTCAATCTTCTTGATTCATATCAACGTGAGCGTTGTTCTTCAGCTTAATCGAATATTATTTCGACACGGTGAACCAATATTTGTTCGCCATCTCCGCTGCATTATTCAATTCTTTCACTCAATAATAATTTCACTCGATCCGAAAGCGTGGATCTTCAACTTAATCTTCAAAATACACATTAACTGGTTACTTACTTATATTTGTTAATTTGTCTGAAACCAAGTTTAGTGAGTCAATCAGCTAACGAATAAAAATGCAAGTGATCACATTTCGATAATATGCAATTATTTATTATTTATTCAAATTTGGTTACACTCGGTCCAATAATTTATGCATAAGTTTCGCTTCACTCGTTTCAGTTTACGTGTGTGGCACGTGTAAAGCGCGCGTTCAGTTTTTGCTTTTTTTCAAGTTTCGACGGCGAGAACGAAGCAAAATCGTTAAAAAACACTGTTTGCTTATCTAAATGAAGGGCGCTGCTTAGATCGATGCGGCTGTTTCCCAAGACGTCTAGACGTCTGCTATTTTATCTCATAACTTTCAATTGTGCGATGCTATAATTCACAGATAAGTAGTGTCTTTCCACGCGAGCAAGAAGATAAGAAAATAAAATAGTTCCTGGGGTTTCCTCGTAATTTCTAATGCGCGTGTTAATAATTTAAATAAAAGCAAAAAAAAAAAAAAAAATCATTGCAGCTTATATTTATTTATTTATTTATTTATTTACCAAGACTCTATTTACTTAGATAATTAATTATTTACATTCTCAGAATTTAAATTGATTGCTTGTGACTTTTTCCAAGTGAAGGCAATGTCACTTTATTGCATTTCATGTGTTGTCCAAACTTTAGATCGATAGCTAAAGCGTGAGTAATTGTTGCACTTATTGTTGATAAACATCCGTTCGTTCCGTTTTGAAATCAAAATATTTTAGGATCTTTCGTTAACAATAGAAGTAAATTACGCATAACTGTTTTTTTACCCGTTCTCAAAATAACACAGTTCACCAGTAAGAATAAATACATGTTTCTACACGAATGTCTTACTTTAACACGAAAACCAAAAAAAAAAAAAAAAAAAATTATATATATATATATATATTTTTAATTTTGACAGATCAACAGAGACCGTTAATAACAAACGAAGATTTTCATTTAACTCAAACCCGATAGTTGTGCTATAGATATTTGACATATCCACGAATGGAAGCTTTTTTCGTTCTGTCCGTAAAAAAAGTACAGACTTTTATCGAGACTGTTATCAAGTAGCGATAAATTGTTGCGAAATTGTTTTTTAAACTTTTATATCTTCCGTTTATGGATCCATTATCCACTATGCAATTGATTCTCTTTTTACACGAATTTGTCGGGAATGTATTTGTCGTGCAAAAAGAGAATTATGTTCATACTAATCTTAATTATCCACTATGCAACCAAATTCTCTTTTTACACGAATTTGTATGGAACGTATCTATCGTGTAAAAAGAGAATTATGTTTATACGAATTTTAATTTTTTTTTCTTTTGTAATAAAAATGAATTGTTTTTGTTTTATAAATATGTAATCTAATCTAATGTTTAGCGTTTTTTCATCTTACACAATTTCTCAAATTTACCATACGCCGTATGCATTTTTTTGCATGACCTTTTTTGCACGGATTTCGAAGGACTGTAGCTAACGCGTAAAATAAGAGTTGAGCGCATATCAAAATAAATTATCAAAATTAATGCTAAACTTACTTAGACGCCTCGCACAAAATGACAAATTTTGGATCCACTATAAACAAAAAGAATTCATATTAACACTAAATTTACGCCAGCCATCAATTTGACAGTCTTCGTAATAGATGTGTTGGAAAACTGATTCAAAACATTTTTGAACTGAACATGAAAGTGATCCTAATGATTGTCTAGCTCATAGGTTTTGGAAAATATCTTCATAGAATCGAAAGTTATAGATGATAATATTAAAAAAAATTATTGGCGTCTTTCACGATTAGTTTAGTTTCTCCTCCATCGTGGATGCGTCTGTTAATAGATCACGTCCATTTTCTAACCTTGTATTTCTTATCGATGAACGAATGATTACGCCGAATTTCAGTTTCCTATCTTACTTTTTGGAACTATGACTATTCACAAAATTCAAATTGTCCCTTGAAACTGACGCATTTCCCCGCTTTTCGTAAGCTCTTAAACATAACCTATTTTACAAGACAATCTGTGATGTTTAACTTTAATCGCAGAGGTGTATTTCTAATATTCTTTCATATCTAGAATTAAGCAAATATGTAGTCTGACCAACGTTGGGGTTCTGAAAGGAGACGTAAATAAAACACACTTCCGATTAAGATTTGGATCAATTTTTTTTTCAATATATTGTTTGGATTTCGTCTTTATTTATGCAAAACAATACATACATAGTTGCACAGCATATACAAGTTGTTAAAACGTATTATGAAAGCAATGGGCCCACGGTTGTGTTTCGTGCATGTGGGATGAAACTTATACTTGGTTGAATAAACTGTGTAAACAAGGATTATTGCTGATTCGCTGTAAAGGGGACACGTCTGACGTTCGTAGACGACTTTTATATGTACAAAAATAATATATGTGGGTGTGCTTAGTCGGCGGTGTTATTCGACAAATGTTATTTTCGAGCATGCAAATCGCATTGCAATCTACGTCAATGGATAAATATGATAAAAAATTAAATGATTTCGACTTGGACGATATGTGACTTGAACAAAATGTGTGTGATGTCATATGTCATACACATCAGCCTCACATCAAACTTATGCGATATAACTCTAGGGAGCTACATTTATTACTTTTTAATTTTTTTTTTTTTGTGTATGACCAATCATCACGGTAAGAATTAGAAAGATGTGAAGAAAGTGAAAGAGATAGGGACGTGGTCGCAGCCTAGTGGGTATGTGCGCAATCAGTAAGTCGGTTTGCCTTTACGGACTAACTACAGCTACGACTAAAGTAAACTCTATCAGACTAACATTTGAACTATGAGGTCATGTTGGAGCATGAGCTTACTTCAATGAGCAACCATCTATCATTGATCTTATTCACAAAGACAATCCGTGTTATTGGTGAGATAAGAGTAAACTTATGTGGAGAGGTGGCAGAAATTGGTTTTCCAGATTTGAATTTTTACAAAAGTTCAGAGGCATGAAAGACAATTTGTGTTGATATCTTTTATAGTTTATTTACTACTATTATTATTATTATTATTATTATTATTATTATATATATATACGTAACGCACATTCTTAGTAAATTTGTAAATAGTTTATGTTAATTTACTGTCTCCGTCATATAATCAATTATATCATAATACGCAACAATTGTTTTAATAAACTTATACCATCTGCGGTATACAACGTACTAAATACGTGTAAATGTATGTAATATCTAAACAGATTGACTTGTTATATTCCTTGACCGCCTGATCATCTATATGATCTTTAAATTCGCCGGGTAGTAGTGGTTTTTCGACATATTGAATTTGGTGTAATAAATTTGAATAGGACGAGGGTCGAGGTCTTGAATCCTCTCTTAACTAAACGTCCCTATAAAATGTAAGCTTTTATGTGGAAAAAGTATGCAATTTTTCATAATTCATATTGAGACAGAAAATTTAATTATACAAAGATTGGATCATGTAAGTCTACTTTTCCTAAGGGCGCTAAGGATGCTCATGAGTAATTCGTTTTGTCTAATTTTTAATAATTTATGACGAAAATACTTGAATAACATTAATTTTATTAAATTTACGTAAATCACGTCCGTTTATGTTTTAGAAAATCCGCCTGTGTGGCCGAGTAGGCAAGAGTCTCGACTAGCAACTCAATGGTCGTAGGTTCGAATCTCAAGTGCGCTAGAGTTTTTAATAAAAAAGCCGATAGCCTTAGATGCTAGTGCTTTTAAGAGTTTAGTCTTAGAATTTATTTCTCTGACGAAATTAATAATAATAATAATAATAATAATATGTTTTAGAAACTATTTTATTATATAAAAACTCCTGCGAAAAGTACGCCTTTGAATAGAGAAATAAGGTATAATTGTTGGTTTTTTTTTTTTATCACTAAAATAAATGGAAAGTTGTGTGTTGGATAAGGTGATGTACGATATATAATAATAGTCGGCCTTGTCCGACTATAATGTACTTGGTTATCTTTGAATGCACGCGCTAACAATGGCGTTAACGTTGTGTCTTCGCTCCGTTCCGTTCTGTTCCGTTAGGAGTGTTTTGTATATAGGGAAACGAAAAGCATTTTGGTCGCAGTTCCAATTTAGAAAAGAGAGATCCATTAAAAAATTAATAATTAACTAAAAAGGTTTTTTTTTTTGTTTAGTCAGTTCCCCTTTGATACGAGCCAGGTAAGAGTTTTGGTGTATCGTGAGTGCGATAGTCGAGGTAGACGACTTTTATTCGATTCCCGTGCCTTGGAAAAGGTTTATTCGACTGATGAAAAAAATGTATTAAGGAAAACAAATGCATTCAAAATGACAGATCAAAAGCCTAAAAGATGGTCGGGAGCTAGCACGTGTGGCAATTTTATCGAAATATGCAAAGAATATGGCTACAGGGTATATAAATGTTTTATTTTTAAAGTACATAATTTATTTATCTAAATTTAATTATTTTGTTAATAGCATAATCGGCCTGATTCAGTTGACATTACAAGTATTGGCGAGATGGTTTTTGGAGCATTGGCTATGTCATTTCGGGGTACTTCACTGAAAGTACATTGGTTACAGAATCCAGCTAGGATGCTGTGCTCTCAAGTATTTTATGCGCCGATCCGTCCTTCAAAGAGACCGTCTCCGTTTCTAACAATATCTGGACAAAAAAATATGGCCACAGCCCGGCCGTCGGTACCTACTGAGCAAGATACCGCGGATGGTATATCAATGAATTCGTTTTCGTTGTCATTTGCAGCAGGCGTGCCCCAACATTCGCATTTAATGTCAAATGATTTCTATTCAACGATGTCCATGCCATATGATACGCCATCACTTGTAGATCATGAATGTAGTATAGGCAGTGGACCTCGTTTATCGTCCACTTATAGCACTGTTACTGATTCGGGCTATTCAGCATCAAGTCGTGGGCAAATTCCAAGTGATCTTTGGTCGTCTTCCTACCAGTATTCGATTAGGAGTAGCATAGGCTCAGTGATGTCTGATCAGTTTGATATCTATCGTAAGCTAAGCATGGACATCAATTACTTTCCGGATGGTTCAGATTCAAGTAATTTATCGCTTTTAGCTAGTGATGGTAATTTACAAAGACGCATTTCACGCAACATGATCACTTCTTTCGAAAATGAGAATTCAGTGAATGATTTTATTGGATTTTTAAGTGACAATTACGTGTACGCTACCCAAGGTGGTAGTGAGGGTGGTAATTTGAGGATTAATCCACGCTGTAATAGTTGCGGTGCGAATGAATCTAGAAGTAATCCCGAAATGGGCCGTAAAGAAGATTTTGTTGGAGTTATGAAATCAGGTTCTAGAAGAGCAAGGATTGGTTTAGCCGTTTGCATCGATTTAAGTGAATCTTTCGAGGATGAGATGGAGTTATTTTGCAATGAACACGTTGCCTTGCTAGAATCAATGCTAAGTCGTATTCGTGTGCACACGGAAAGAGCCTATATTCATCATAAGGATTTCCTACAAATTATGTGTCAAGTTTGGCAAGACACTCAACAATGGTTCGAGGATCTGTTCAAAGCGCCCCGCCTCAAAACTCCGATATGGTTGACTATTACAACGAGTGGTAGCAAATATTCGAAAAGTGTGGCAGAACATTTCATAAAAGAGTTATGTTGGCTTTTAACATATGCCGATACCAAGGACACCAATTTGTAAGTAAAATATTGTTAAGCATTTAACGAATTCTATTTAATTAATTGCGATATTAATAACTCTCTAGTTTCATAAGTACAACATTAACTGCCGTACTTACACACCACTTGGGATGGGTGGCTACTGTAGCACAATTCAATTCATCATCGTCTCATTCGGAATCTAAAACCGCCGCTATGAAACAGCGGGCCAGGCTGCGTCAGGTCTCGCAAAAGCATCCATATAATGCTTTGTGGGCACAAATGGGAGATCTCTTTGGAGCTACAGGTATACCACCTAAGTTGGCGCGAACAATCATTTACGGAACTGAGAAATTATCTATTGAACGTTTGCTAAATATACTAACGTATTTTATACGTTGCGCGGAAGTACGACGTTCAACCAAAAAGGAATATCTCGACAAAGACACCGTCTACGATATTATCGCGCGAAACAAAACAGAAATTGAAGAGAAAACTAATCAAAGTTTCAATAAGTGTACAAACACATCTCAAGATATCAATGAAGGACGGTTAATAAGAACGCGGACTTGTACGCAACATCTTAGCACATTAAATAAAGCAGATACAGAAGAAGATAAACGAATCGCAAGTGAACAACATACTAATGTCAATAATGAACCGCAATTATTGCGCAGCAATAAAAGGAATGAAATTCCTAATGTGCTGGCGTATAGAGAGTCGCGTTTTGTACAACAGGAATTGCGTATCGGTAACTATCTGATGGATACGGGTATCGAAAAGAGATCGTTGCAACAATTGCAAGAAGAAAGACTGAGCGATTACAGCGTCGCCGAAGCGAATAAAGTAGATGAACATATACGACGATTGACGACACAAACCAAACGCGAAGATACTGAATTACTTGCAAGAAATGATGAATTTTGCGGTAATGGGGCTTTGGAAGCCATAGAAATGGATAATATGACATTAGAGGCAGCTGACAATCAAGTGTTTCCAGAGCAACCAGAGCAACCAGAGCATAAAAGCAAATTAAAAATGTCATTCTGGGGTGTGGGCTCAGTAAGAGTTCGAGAAGGTCTTAGTTTAAGTGAAATGAATAGACTGCAATCAAGCGTATCCGACGAAAAACGGAATAATTCTAAAATGACGAAGGGAAAAAAAGTTGATGAAAATGTGGAACAACCTCAAACGCAGAAAATATGCCTATCCGATCTGATTACCCAAAACAGTATTGGGAAAAGTAATCGTATGACATGGGGTATCGAACCCATCAAGGAAAATGTTAGCTTAGAAGAGCAAATACATTTTGATTTTTGTCAAAAACTCATTGAACGTGATCATGGCACCTGTCGCGTTAAAGATAATGGGAAAGGTGTTGTATTCGTTCTGGGTGATAATGAGCCCTTGCTTAATATAAAACAAACAAGTAACGAAGATCTTACAATGAAATTGACGAAGGAAATCGACGACGATCCAATCGGCGAGGACGAGCAATTGTTATGCCCTTTGCATGCTCATGCTTCGGGACAAATGAAAAATTATTCTGCAGTTAAATTCAATTTCGAACAGTATCCGCAAATTGCAACGAATTACATGAAAAATAAAAACATATTTATGCCCACCTATGATACGCTCGCCGAAAAATATCAAAAATCTCACAAATCCGAATCAATGTCTACGCATTGTGCGCAGAGTGACGCTGATAAGAAAGCCATTGCATGTAGGATCTGTAATAGTCTACTAAACTCTTATCAGACCCCGTCAAACGCAACTGAATTAGAATTTGAAACTGATAAGGTTCATGGCTTTGCAAGTAACGCTGCCGCATCCCGTTTGAGTAAAGTTGGTTCTCAAGCCTCTCTAGAAACATTGATTTCACCGTCACACGATAATTTGCCAACACAGTCTAAATTGGGTGCGAGAACAATCGTTGAACATTTCGGACATTGTTCGCTTAGTCAAAATTCTCAAAAAGTTGTCAATGACGTTCAAGAGAAAAATACATCGGAACGTTCAGTTTCTTCGGTGGCATCTAAACATTCTGCCAATCGGGAAACTATACACTTATTAGAATTACCTTTGCCCAGCGTGAAGGACATTCAACAACAGACCGAATGCAGCGAATGTATAAAAATACCGCCTGGCTTTGTTCCATCGTTATTTTTAAATGTCAACGATCATTATATACCTGATGTAGTGTTACAAGTAAAGTTGTAATATATGCATTTAATTTAATATTTAACTTATCCATATTTACATATTTATATATTTTCTTTTTTATTTTATACTGTTTTAGGGTACATTTGCATCACCAAGCAAATGGGAAATTCATTTACGTGAGGACTTGGCTTTAGCCTCACATTCCGCCTCACTTATTTCACTGCCCGCCGAAAATGTTGCCATCGTAGGCGACATGGAGAAATGGGATGTTAAATTATTGTCATCTCAATCGCAAGGCTTCCCTTACGTGGGTGGACAAAGTGCTCCCGTAGGGATGTCTCAATTGGTCTCGTCTATGTTGGAAACTGTGCAGACCATGAATACTGTTGGTATATCGCCTTACGAGGTAAACAGCTTTACTATGAGTACGTCGCCCGAATAATAGGCGACAATGAAAAAGGATTACACTATATTACAGCTCAATATTTATTATATCGTTCGCTTTTTTCAAAAGTGATATTTCAATTGATTGCATTTAATACTTGGGGGAGGTCAATGTGAATTATTTAGATTTTTTTTTTTTTTTTTTTTTTTTTATAATATACATATATAATTTATTTTTATATATTGTGTAGGCTGAAAAGAAGAGAACACGACAGACAGATGGGTAAACAAACTTTTAGCAATGCGGAAAATGGCTCTGAATCGATTGGCATAATAATCGATGAGTCTAATCTCTAGCCTGTCCAGAGCTTGCATACATTCGCATAAACTTAATATATCCCTTATACGGTGTAAGAGATAAAAAGTACCCTTTTTTCAAACATTCATCAATTACATGGAAATCAATCAATATATTTGTTTTGGAAACCCCTACGTTTTCTGCTGAGTATTTGAAATTGAAATTAATTTTTTTCTTTTCTTTTCTGCAGATTCGAATTTGTCCCACAAAACATACGAACGAAATATACCCCTACTAAAATGGATGTGGTGCTGCTATTTTTTTTTTTATATATTTTTCAAAAACAATTTTTCTAACACTTACATACATACGTCCTTCGAATATTGTTATTCTGTCAGCTTTGCTTTTATCTCAAAAAAAAAAAAAAAAAAAAAAAAAAATAGTCATCGAAAACTTTCTTTGAAGCTGTTACAATGGCTGCTGTTCCCCCTTCCGATATTTTTACTAAAATTGATTAATTCTATATCATGTCCTTACATAGCACTATGCATGTTCTTTCTTCCTAGAGTATTGTAAAGTATTTCCCCTCTTTTTTTTTTTGCATTTTTCGATACAAGTATTCCTACATAGAATATCTTTTGAAGCGATTTTGAAGTGTTTAATCAAATATTTTTGAAATTAAGCTCGTATTACTGATTTTATTTACAATCTGTACAATTCTTTGAAAAGGATTTGAAACTGTTTAGGAATGTTTAGGAATGTTTCTCTTCGACTTGGCTCGACTTGGCGGCACGACATTCAACCGGTTTCTATCTTCCGCAATTGCTTTGCTTAGACATTTATTATTATTTTTATTTTTTTTTTCGTTTTGGGTTTTGAAAAGAAAGAAAGAAAGAAAGAGCTATTACTAGATCTGCGTATCAGGAGAACAACTAAAAAATATATAAAATATATGCATTCTCAGTCAGCTTCCATACACAAATTTACTCATTTATTTATTCAATTATTTATTTATTTATTTAAATTTTATTTGATATTTTATTTATTTATTTTTTTTTTTTCATTTTTAGTGCTTGTCTTTTATTGAATTTAAATTGCAAGAAATTTACTTACATTCGGAAACTCTAGCCGCTTTTTTGTTGGAAACTGATTTCTGTTCATTGAACGCTGTCACTACTGCGCTAAATCTTTCGGAAAATGATGTGCCCCTATTGCTGTCTATAGCGTCAATACATACACCGCAAATTAGCAAGAAATGCGGAATCAGTTTTAGATAACACACATCCTAACGCATGTCATTATCATTATATTAAGTATATCGATAAGATGCATATTTCAAATTGTAAATATCTACACATTTTACGTAAATTGATACGTATAAGAATTACGGGTAAATAGATAATAAGTAATAAGTAATAACAGTTCTTTGCTGATGTTCTTGAATACGAATTTAAAATTTTTCTCTAACATGACTTTTATTTTATTTAAAATATAACTAGAAATATTTGTTTTTCTTTTTTTTAATGAAAGTATGAGAGATATATGTATTTTAAATTTACATAAAGATGAAACATAAACATAAATATGAAATTATTTATTGCATGTAGAGTATTATTATAAATTTAAAGATGAACTGAACCGAATAATTAATAATATTAAGTAAAAGCTATGCAGCAGCCGTTTGGGCCTGCTCTCAACTAAAGTATTTTGTAATCTCTCTTATGTTTTTTTAGAGACTCTATTTATTCTAGATATCAAGTAATCTTAGATTATTTTTACGCTATTGCTTTCTATTTATTGAATTTTATGCATAACTTTAATATTAAGAAAAAAAAACAGTTATTTTTTTCCAATTGATAAAAATGAGATTTCATGAAAAATCCTAATCATCTCTTTGTTTTTGTTTTTCATGTTACTCTTACAATATCAGTAGAAACATTAATTTGTTGATTAAGACTCTATGTATCAGGAATGGGCATAGGTTAGGCGAATCGCCTAAGCCGCCGCTTACACATAACACAATTTTTAAGGTAACAGTGGACAAAGTTCTTCGCTAAATGAAAACAATTTTCTTTTCATGCTTGTTTCTGCAAGATGGATAGATACGTCTTTCCTTTCTTCCTCAACAAAAAAAAAAAAAAAAAAAAAAAAAAAAACAGTAAGTAATATGTATTAAGTTGTAAATCCTTTCGGTGATCATATATTGCAGGGGCCTTTTAACTGGCTTCGCTGCGTATGCTGGCCTATCGTACGTTGAATTGCAAGCTCTTTTTCCTCCTATTACGGGGGAAGATTGCATCCACATTGGCCATCAGCTAGAAGAGTATATATGCCATGGGTCAGTTTTTAATGTTTTTTTTTTTTTTTTTTGCGAATAACGAACGTTTCAAATATATGAACGCCTGATCGATTCAAAATGATATCTTGAGAAAAAGACAAAGACTCTACGTATATATATATGCTTCTCGAAAAATCGATGATATCTAATTTCGGGTCTAGCCAATTCTCGCCAATTCTTCAGTGATTGATATACGTACACACATACTAATAAACACAACATTAGCGATCCAACTAAATTCTACTTGCATAAAATTAAAAAATATCACAATTTGAAAAAGCAATTAACTGATGATTGCAAGTATGGAATATATTATAGTAAATACTTTATTTGGCTAAACGTAGATGCAATAATAAATACATACACAATATACATTCACAATGGATATGTGACGGAAACAATTTTATGAGGTCGTGAAGGCTTGTCGATATTAAACAACAATAAATAATAAAACAATTGATTCGGAGTTTATTATTACGCGACTATCGTATAAATCACCATCTCTTGGCCTCAATTTAATTAAATATTGGAAAAATAAATAAATAGCTATGTCTGGTACGACCAAGGAAAAATCATCTAATGAGTAATACTTCAATATCAATGTCGAGTTATTACTCTCTCTCTCTCTCTCTCTGTCTCACTCTCACTCTCACTCTCTATTAGAAAGGCTTTGTATGTTATTTTTGAATCAGTATTCGGAAGCATTGTCTTGTGATAAATATTTTTTATTTTTTAATAATTTTAAAATTATATTTTTCATTTTCATTAATATTAATATTATTATTATTATTATTATTATTATTATGTTAAGCTAGAGAAAGAGAATTCAAAGATTAAACTTTTAAAGCACTAGCATCTGAGGCTATCTGGTTTAGTGGAAACTCCGCCGCACATGAGGTTTGAAACCACAATTACGTTTCAATTTTTCATTTTTATCTATTTAATATATAGAAATGTTTAACTAATTTGAAAAGTAGTTGAATTTTGACTAAAAATTTGCACAAAATAGCTTCTACTCAGAGAAAGAGAGCAGTCGCATTTAGATATTTCGTTTAATATTTAAATTTGAAATTCGAAATAAACTTTATTAACAGAGTATGTACGTCTATTATATTTTTGCATTTTTTTTTTTTTTTTTTTTTTGTTTTTATCCAGTACAACTAAAATATTTATTTATAAAGTTACATATGTAATCTTAATCTAATTTGATGCTTTGTGTCTGTGTTGCTACTGCGGCTGCCGACGAACTAATACATTATAGATGTGCATACTTTCTAAAATTTCTACGACAGAGTAAAGAAATGCCATGAGAATAGAATATGAGTTTTTGTAGAAAATAAATAACACGATAACAACTATAATCAGTCAAATTTTTTGTTTCGACGCTGGAAACTATGAGTAAAACAAATTTTTAAATAAATTAAAAAAAAAAAAAAAAAAATTTTAAACAAGTCTAACTTGCCTGTTCATTGCAATGACCTTAGTAATGTATAATTGTTGCTTTATATAAACGAAAACAATTCAATATCCTTAGTAACGCTGTTTACGAATTTAATTACAGAAAGGTGGGTATGTCAAATATATATATACATATATACATATATATATATATATATATATATATATATATATAAATAACTTATAAAACTTTAAATTTTACCTACAGAGTATCTCTGTAGCGTTTATGTAATACTACGGAAAAAAAATTTCTTTCTAACTTTGTTTTGCGTTTTTCTTTTTTTTGTGTTGATTTTCAACTTGAATAATTATTATACAAGCTTCTTAGAAACATCCGGTGGTTGCACGTTTAAGGAATTTAGTTGCGATGTTTCTGTTTCCGTTTCCGTATTCGTTGCGATTGCATCCATTTCTCGCGTAGCCCTATCAATTTTCTGTACTGCCAATGAAGTTTTTCTAGACGCATCTTTCCGCGTAACGAGCTTCAAGGGTACTGAAGATTTTTCAATCTCACCTCCAGCAACATTTTCGCTATCTGCAGACGATATAGGCCTTTGCCACGTCCTCGATGTGGCGCCATTATAAACTTTATTTTCATCAGAGTTTTGATGCGATCCATATTCAGTATTTGAAACATTTGAAGTTATTATGGCTATGCTTGGCGCCTCCAACCAAATACGATTCGCAGTAAATATGAACATGTCCTTTAGATCAATAATGGTGAGTAAAAATTTGTCAAAAATTTCGCCTAGGCCATCGTATTCGTTGGGTATAATACCAACCACTGAACTCTCGAAATAGCTAAACATTGGGAACCAGATACGTGTGCGAGACGAGTCGCGTGACATTAAAGCTTGATTATTAGCTAACGTATGATAATAAAGGAATAAACGGGATGTTATATAAAAAGCCACAAACACATCAATAGAGTAGTGTTCATGGGCAGCCAAGATAAAAAATATGCCAAACATATTCAAAAGCCATGTTAGAGTATGCAGGAAATATAAATGGCGAGGTGTATCTATAAAATATTATAGAAAAAAAAAAAAAAAAAAAAAAGGCGTATTAATTAATGGGCTGTATTCAAATTTGTTCCAAATTTTACTTACATTCCGTTATACAAAAATTTAACAATGTTAAAGCTACCGTGTGACCACTAAACATATAATCTCCGCATGTACGAACACCCTGTATGGACATACCCAAACCGCTCCAGATGATATAAGCCCTTTGCATACGTAGCTGTATCGCTTCTCGCAAAGTTAAACTGTAACATAACATAAATATCCATTTAACGTATTTAGATAGAATATACTTAAGCATTAATTACTTACGAACTATCATCTATTGCATAATCTTTAGGATTGCATTGTAAATGCGTACCCGGTACACTTAAAGACGTAATTAACATTGTAACACAGCGCAATAGAAAAACAGTACCCGCCAGTGCAAAGAAACGCCTTAAGAGTACCATGCGGTATTTGTGAAAGATGCACACGCAAATCCAAATAATAAAAAGCAAAGTGCCTGTTATTTCGCACATATGAAAAGCCCAGGGTATGTGAGGCACGTTATCAAGGAATATATCTGGCAGAGGAGGATAGCGTTTCATATCAGGCACACGTTCATGAACAATTACCATCACAAATGATGTTATCCAAGTCACAAGAAAAGAGTAAGCTGTTATATGTGAAGATATACATTGCGTAACACATATATTTTTAAATGCAACAACGTACAAATCAAATAAAAATGTATAAAAGTATATACAACAATATAATCTAATAATTTATTTATTAAAGACACTTAAGAGAGACGCATAAGTCTTAATTATTTCATTATTTTGCAATGATTGACAGGAACTTAAAACATAATTAAATCTATCACACGCCGTCAGCAAACAAAACAAGATTGCAAAACGGATTCAAGTGAATTTCTTCTTTTTTTTTCCCAAACCAACTACAACTTTGGTGAAGATTACATCTTTTATAAAATTCGTTTAACGTCATATTCAGCGAAAAAAAAAAAAAAAAACGTGTGGAGCAACTACGTAATATAATATAAATCGCTTAAAACTCGAAAAGATGCTATAGATCTCCTAGAGCAGATAAGAATGTTTATGCTGTGCTGGTCACATATGAAAAGAAAAATTTTTCCAATTGCAATGCTGATGACATTTGGAATAGCAATCGTAGCAGTCGTGGTTTACATCATTTGCTTAGAAAAACTGTAGCACTTTCCAGACAATTCTATAGAAAGTGATACGTCGAGGCAATAGTACGATCATACAGTATATACGGTTATATAGGGCTTTTTTTAATTACTAAGCAAAAATGAAAGAATGTTTTAAACACTGATTTAACATTGAAATAATTTACGAAAGATTATAAATCATTTTTGTAAGTAATATCACGAAAATATATGACAAATTTCTCGTCAATATTATATTTTACAATATTTGTTCACTTTAAAAGTTCGAAATCGAACTGCTCAAGTATCGAGGTGGTACTTTTAGATGAAGCTGGCACAAGTTTTTGGAGACCTTACAAGTTGTAATAGATATTAGCTTAAAATTTTTGCAAAAAGAAAACTATAAAAATTTCCTTAAGATCGCACTGACTCGCGAATTGCAATTGCCAGACAATGAATAATTATCATGCTAAGTTTTATTGCTAGCACATATTATGCTTATTAGATGTGTTATTTGATTAAAGGTAATTTTCAATCTTTTCCATGATTTTTAAGGCCACAATCGTTTAACTTACCTAAGCTGATTACGGTTTTAAAGCATTCTAGTGGAATTGGGCAAACACAGCCATCCGACATGGAAGAAGTTTCAGGGCAGCAACTTTCCCAATCATTAAAAGTGCATGTTTCCGTATGTGAATTACATGCATTACGATTGCCATAACAATTGTAGCCAACACTGCATGAGTTGAAGCGGTAATGAGCTAGGTAATTCTTTATCAGTTAATCTGATTTCAAAATTGTCTTAGCTTAAACAATTAATTTTACCTCGACTATGATGCTGTTGTTGATCTACTTGAAAAGACTGTAGATTATGTATGAATTGCCAGAGTTTCTTCATTTCTCCTAAACGCAAATCATAATTAAGACGAAATCGAAAGTCTCGTATATCATCTTCGGTTAAATTCAGCAACACCTGTCCATCTATAGCCTCTAATTGTAGGCATCTAATAACTGTTGATGTGAATTGACCGTCTCTGGTAGCCCACTGTACAACGTCGTCAACTTGCCATTGGCATACAATTTCTCTAGTTATACTTTGTTCATTATCGTTACTATTATTTGTGTTTATGGACAGTGTTTTATTTGTAGTAGTCTTATCTTCAATGTGCGTGGTAAGCATTTTTTTACAATTCCTTTGTCTTCCAATTCTCTTTATTTATGATATGAAATTTGTTTTCCTTCTCAACATTGAGGATCACACCATTTCCCATTACATCTCCATTAAAATAATTATCCCGCTTTACTTTTTTAGCGTTTTATTGCATTCACGTTGAATTTATTTAACATTTAGCGTATACCAACTATTTTTATTGCAAAATTCGAAAAAATGCTAAATAAATTTTAAAGTTTAATAATTTTGCTAAAATAATTTGAAAAAAGATTTAATTAAAAAAAAATTGGTAAAAATACATGAAATAAATGACACATTATAACGCAGATAGTAAACGCTGTACAAAAGAAGAGAAAAGAAGAAAACAAAGCAAACAAAAGAACATACATCTGCGGACGTAAGAGAGCAAGTAAAATGTGTTGCATATATATTTTTATATTTAAATACTAGTACATTTTCCTATTTTTCATTTTGCATTTTAAAAAATTTTAAAAAAAATCAAGGAAATTTGAACATTAAAAAAAAGAATGCATAAAATTTCACTCTTCAGCTGTTCTTTGTTTATAGTTGGGAGGGGAAGTGGTACAAAATTCTAATCTTCAGCTGTTCTTTGTTTACTATTAAAAGCAGCAATATATGATAATTGTTTTCCGCTCGAATAAACAAAACAAAATCAAGCACAATTGCAAAACATTTCAAAAAACTCGCTCACACACTAACGCACAGCACAAAATAATAACAAAAAATGGGCTGACTATCCCAAATTCAACTGCCAGCTATTGACGTTAATGTTCTATTGATTGTTAATATTTTTTTTTATTGACAAATTTCAATGTTTCCCCACTTTACCAATAATTTTATATATTATAAATATTTGCGCCGTTGTTTGCTGAAGAAAATTTTTTTTATTTACTATAATTGTTTTGATTTAATTTTGTTTTTGAAAAGAATGTAGATTTAAAATTTTAACTTGCTAACACACGCTCGAATTTTTCTTTTTACCTTTTGTTTTGCTCCTACTGACATTTGCGTCGCATTTTTTGTTCTTTTTTTTTTTATTATTATTTGACAGCAAACGCAAGACCTATTATGATAATTGTATAGAAAAAATTTTCTGTGCGTAAATTGATTTTTTTAATTTCTGTGTGAAATAACGTAAACATGCACGGCAAATATAGTAAAATAATTTAAAAAAACTTACAAAAGCTTACAAATTGAAAAATCAAACCGTAGAGGACTGACACAATGAAGCTTCGTTTCGTTTACATATGTGTACACAGATTTGTTTACTTTTTATTATAAAATAATATGGTAAGGCAGGCAAGCGCGGCGTTTACTGTGTAAGGTCGTACATAAATATCTTACTTATATCTTATCATAACGATGCGTTGTTTTAATTTTGGGGATGGGATTTTAACTTTGTCGTCTTTTAAGAAGACATTGTTGAAAATGGCAAATCATATGGTTTTCATTGAATCTATACAAATAAAACAAAAGAAAGCACGAGAAGAAGTAAAGATTTATTTTAAATTTGGAAACCGTTTACATAGTTTACTAATAATTGTTTATCTAATTTAAAAATAATTTTTTACTAATTCAAGTTATGTTTATGTTAGTCAATTTGAAATTTTGATTTATGTTCAATATTATTTTATAAAATATGAAAAATAAGCAACAAATGCAACTTGTTTTCAATTTAAAATATGGTTTTCAAGATAAAATATTCGAACAATTTGCTTGTTTTATCTAACTATATCAGTGAAGTCTTTCTCCATGCGCGTGCTTCTGCTTTTAAAAGTCATTGTTCTTCGTATTTTATTTTATTAATCAATCAATAATTTAATTTGCTGTTACATTAAGTTTCGTTCTTTACACTTATTGTGGTTTTTTCAGTTTTAGTTCTTAAATCATATGGTTTTGTTGATATATTTTCTCGTACAATTTTTTTATATTTTCACTTGTAAAATAATATGGTAATGAGCCCTTTTTTTATGTTTGCCACTTGGGACTTTTTAACCGAAAAAAAAGAATAACGCACCATTGTGTCAAGCGCCATAATCGGTGCCCTGAATACGAAAGTTAACTTTCAGATACGTGATCTAAATCTATCTAAATGTGAACAAAAACATTTGGTTTGAAAAGTAAAAATATAAAAATTAAGATATATGGGAACAAAAAATAAACGCAACAATAAAACATACGAATGTAAAAGCAAATAAGTGTTTAGATTGATTGGTGAAATAAACTATTAAAAAGAATGAATTCAAAAGAAGAAGCAAAGCAAAGCGGTAGATTTCATTGACAAAATTAAAACGAAAAATGGGGTGACCTTTTAATTTGAAAAGCATGAAAGATAGTTTAACAATTTTGAAAACTCTACTTTAAATTGAAAGCAAACCAATTTTATTGTTTATTTTTCATTTCTTATAAAATTGCATAGAGTATATATCAGGAATTTCAACCCATATACAATAAATTGTATATCAGACCTTTCTACATTAAATCTTTAAGATTTACGTGCACTTTACAAATTAACTTAACTTAATTTGCGAAGATAGTTAAGTGTTGACTTTTTTAATTTTGACAGTCACAAATAAATACAAACATATATTTGTTTTTTATTTCGGCTTTTCTGTTCGGAATAACAATGTAAGCGCTGGCGAAATTTATATGTAAAGCAAACAAGAAACGAATATTAACTTACGTCTTCGTCACGAACGAACGATAACTAAAAGGCACGTGATCACCTCCTAGGCTTTAAAACTTTGCCGTCTTTTTACGTTCTCTCTATTAGCACAACTTGCCGTTGGCATTTGTTCCTCATAAACTGTTAAAATTCATTGCCGTCGGCATTTGTTTCTCATAATCTGTTAAAATCCATTGCAAAATGCGATTTGCCGTCGGCATTGCAAAATGAAAAATGCAAATTATACGTTTCTCCCAAATTATTTATTTAATCTGAGGCTCTATTAATAATGAAAGGTGGGTCTATTTCAATTCGTTTTGAATGTTCCTTACATCCACACAAACTATGCGTTAAGAAATCTTTTTAGTTTTCATGTATTTATAACAACTTGAATAATTTCGACTTGGTGCTATTCATCAATACATTATAATTTTGAATTCGCAGAATATTTTTGTCAATGTGAAAATTTGAATTTAAATTCCTATCTCTGGAATAGATATTGTAATTTATGTTTTTTCCTATTTAAAAAGGATCGTGACTTTCTCCTTAACAGGAGGAATCCCTTGTTTAATGGATCTAATGGTTGAAAAACTCAAATTAAAGCAGTTCTTCAAGACGCAAGATTGCTGAAATTTGTGGCTGCAGCGCTTGCAGAAACAGCGTACGTATGATGAATTGATGTTGGATGTTGGATGCTCGCTCGGAAATTATTATATCCCTGGGACCAATGTAATAAATATGGTAAGAAATTTTAAAACGGCTCGAAAAATTTGGAAATATTTCGGCAAGGCCGAATATTGCCGTAAGCTGCTCCCTCTGAAAATGTCTACTGCCCAAAATGTGTCGGGCTATTTAATTGAATTTGATATGTACATTTTATTCATATTGGAAATGGATGGATAAACTCGATAAAAGTCTATTGGCTACTATTTTGCTTGCTGGCTTGACACACAAATTCAAAGAAATACGTGATGCATTCGATACCGCCAATGAGTTCCCGTCACTGCACTTTTTAAAATCAACATTTCGAAAATACCTTTGAGGTGAAAAAATGGAATGCGGACAACACTATCCTCACTAAACCTTGTATCACAGTTGTTGTTGTTAGTTGTAAAAAAATGTTGCAAAAGAACTTTTTTTAAATATGCTTTTATTTAAGCGTAATAAATGTGGCTTTATGTGCATATACATAATCATGCCAACTATAAACGAAAATTTGAACTTAATATATACCTAGATCGTGTAACTATTTAGGGATAAAATAGGCACTATAACCTTGGAAATGAGATGATAACAAAGCAGCAAGATCTGTAACAGCGATTGATCTAAAACCGGGCACAAATTTTTCCTCCGGCCTACATGATGGAATATATTTTCCTATGACCTGTAAAAATCGACCCTCAAACTGAGCAATGAAGTAGTTTTAATATATTGAGTTTAAGTGGTGCATAGCAAACGGATATAACTCTCCTGCTTGTTAAATCTTAAAACAGAAAGTTTTGGATACTGGACATATCTGCGATAAATATCAATAATCGACCATTTATTTTATGTGAGCATTCTTCTGAATTTAAAGTTAAAACAGTTCCTTCGCAACAGCGTCTTACTATGAGCATCCCATGAGAAGGATGGAGGAATATTATTCTATTTAAAACGCTTGCAAGTCTCAGAATAAAATTTAAAAGATATGAAAAAAGCACATCTATGCTCTCGATTAGCGTTAAATTCTGAATCGATTTTAACACTCTCCTGGCCGCAAAAATTAATATATCGTTTTCAAATTTGGCAAATACATTGAAAATTCTTGCGCGCAAATTCGTGTTCAAAGAATGGATTATATTGATCAAAGCGGATGCCTACAGTGTAACATGAATTAGAGACAACTTTACTTTCCGGATTTTTTATGCGTTACTCATATACTATGACAGCCAAGCGCTAATAAACATTTTTACATTTTCGAGTCACGCCGCAACAGTAGATACTGTTTAAGTAAAACATTATATTTTGTTTTTGAAATATCTACGCAAGTTTATTCATGACCTTATATATTGCAGCAAGCATTACAATTTGTTTTTATAATTCATCCATGTTGTAATTATAAGATATTTTGAAAATTTGAACCGTAAAAATCATGTAATAGCGCAAATCGAAGACGTAACCATGACGGATTACTAAGTGATATTAACATAAAATGTTGGAAATAAGCTCCAAAACGTAAAATTGATAAAAATCATTCTATATTCAGATTTATTATCAATAAGGTATGTATGTATGTATGTATGTATGTATGTATGTATGTATGTTACATATCCACACACATTATCTGACAGAAAAAATTGATGTTTTTAGTCTCTTATCCCAAAATGTATTTTATGTATTTATAAAGATATATTAAGATATTAAGGTATAAATATAGGCTACACAAAATACACAGTTTTTATGAGGATTATTAATATATTACGCTTACAACTGATGCAAAGTTTTCAAAGTTACCGCGATTTAGCCAACATTCCGAACGTTAAAGAGACGTAGATATAGAAAAGGGGGGCAGAGGATCAGAGTGGAGGTGTGCGCTGAGTTCCGAAATACTATTTGTTATAAGTATTCGGAGCGGAGCTATTTTCGATGCTTACGATAATACAAGTTTGTAAGTTTAGTTTTTTTTTGTTTTTTTTTTTTTTTTTTGTAAAGGATTAGTAGCAGAGAATCTCAAGTCGTTGAACAATTTCTATTAAGCGAAGTATTATGCGAAACATTTATATATTTCTGCTATTGTAAAAGAAATCCGAATTTATGCCACGTTACGTTTCACTTAATGAAGTGCCTTATAACATATCAACAACCCCTATACTGTGTCCTGCTTGTAATGTTAATTCTGATGATTTTTGCCCGTTGATGATAATGAACTTATGAGTGCTTGTGTTTGCTTTCGTGCAACAAATAATCATGCTACAGATAGATTGTTTTTATGTTATTGCGTTATCAGTTCAAGCACTCTATTCTTTGCAAACTGAAGTGTCCATAGGACTAGCTGGTTGGGCAAAAGTGCCAGATGTGTTGGAGCTTGAATTGGTTGGCGTAAATGCCGAATTACCAGTGACACTGGTATTGGACGTATTATTTAAATTAAAGTGCAAAGGATTTGATGAAGTATGATGAGTGGAAGCGTTATTGCCCAACAATGTACCCGAATTGAATGATGGTAAACGTTCGCTGCCCAAATTATTAAGAAAACCTGTTGTTGGTCCAATAACGCCAGAGGAACCTGAAAACAAACCACCGACAACGGTGGGACCGGCCGCACCTGTAGAGCCCGGTAACATAGTGGAGGTTGAATTGTTTACACCCAACATTGGTGTTGGCAGTGCTGGCTTTATGAAGCGTTCGCTTGCACGACGATTCTGCAAAGAAAAGAAAATTGCTTATCGTAGCATATAAGACGATGATGCATTAAATGGTAATTTACAATCATTTGCCCACAGGCATAGCAACGATTTTGCTGGGAAGTGCCTGGACTTAATGGGCGGCTGTTTGATGGGCTGTGCGAAACCGGGCTGCTTATAGTACGTTGGCGATGCGCATTGACAACAGGGGCTCCTAACGGAGCACCGCTAGATAATAGATTTTCATTATAAAAACGTTCCTCATCCATTTCTAATGATGATTCCGATTCGGACAGATGACGACACAGGGCTTCGCGCCTCTCTACTTCCTGTTTTAATTTGCGTTGCAAACGTGCATTCTCTTCGCGAATAGATTTCTCTTCTTGAGCGAATTGCTGTAGTTTCTTTGTTGTCTCCTTTTCAGCTGCGGCAAGATTGGCCCGCAAACGTATCACTTCCGAGCGAAGAGTTTGAATATGAGCACTGAGATTTGAGGCAGTGTCACCATTAGCATTGGTGATGTCGCGAGGTGTAGTTGGATCGGAAACTGGCTGGTCCAACTTGATTTGCAAGAGTCGCTTCTCAGTTTCTAATTTATCCATGCGTTTCCATAATTTATTAACCAAAGCCTCTTGTTCTTGCTCTAAGGTATTTTCAAGTTCAACCATCTCACGACGCAATTGATCCAAATTGGTCTGTTTGTTGTCAGTTTCCGCTTGAAGCTTCTCAATTTTGCGCATCAACTTATTAACCAAACATTCCTGCTCCTGTTCAAGAGTTTGTTCTAATTTGCATTTTTCTTGACGCAACTAACATGAGAAATAAAAGCAATAAATATATATATATATATATTAATATATATACATATACATATATATATTAATAAACATACTACGTTTTGATTGTTATATTATACCTGATCTAATTTTCTAGATAAATCGTTCGTTAAACACTCTTCTTCTCGCTCATAATGATGAGCTAAAGTCTCTTTTTCTTTTTTCAACGCTTGAATTTTTTTTAACAAAGTATTTGAAATATATTCTTCCTCCTGTTCAGCCTTCGCTTGCTAAAAGTAAAAGCGACATGGACTTTACAAATATATAATAAATAGCTAAATAAACATTCCTTACAATAATTACGGAAGCTTGCTTGAGCGTGCGATTCTCTTCTTGTACCACTTTACATTTTATTTTTACAGTATCCAACTCAGCTTTGAGGACTCTATGAACAGCGTATCTTAGAGATTTCACTGACACAAAATAACTTTAAACTTACTTGTTTTGTTGAGTCAATGATTCAATGCGTTTCTGCAATTGCTCTCGAGATACTGGACTAGGCGGTAACATGGTGCCTCCATCCAAGGAGCTTTCTGATTCACATGGGCTTTCCATAGCCTCAAAAAATCTAACAAATTATAATGCGATTGAAATTTTTTTTTCAGCATATATTAACGGGAGTATAGTTCCCTTTGTTTATAAAACGAACAAAGAAAATAAAAATTTTTTTCGACCCCCACTGCACTCTACGTTCTAATAACAAAACAACAAAGTTCAAGGCAACATTCGTCCCCGCAGATATCGCATGTTCTCTTAATACCATAATTGTCCGCATGCACATGATTTTATAAAAGTTATTCATGATTATTGATATCCATATGGCCGCTACATATATGCTTATATGAAATAATTTAATATTACATACATATTTACCTGTATTAATACAAAATCGTCTTATTGTGGTTTAATTAAATATTTTTCACACCGACTGATTACTTTTTTCCCGTTTTTCTTTTTGTTTAGCTCTACACCGTAATCGCGTTCTTGGGCTTCGTCACCACTTTTGTTGATGCCTTTGTTGTCAATTTAATTAGGACCAATTTTTTTTCTCCTTATAAAGTCCGAATATTATCTTTCTCTTCTTAATTTTGTAATTATTTTTTTTTTTTCATAGAAATCGAATCAAAACCCACTAAATAATGAACTTTCCTATAATTTCCCCAATGCTTTCAAAGACTTTTTTCAACTTCGGAAAAAAAAGAGAAATTAGTTAGAATAAGTATAGTAAAGGGTTACCTCTCATTTTATGGGATATGGTAAGCCTAGATTAAGGTTATGAGTAAAATGCTATTGGGAGTCGCAATTAATGTCGGAATATGATTAATGTTAAGAAGAAGAAGAAGAAGTACGTAATCAAAAAAGCGATAGAGTATCATACTTGGAATGGTAAAAGACGTAAATAAATAAATTAAAATAATAGTAGAAATATATATTTACAGAGTAGATTTTCTAAAAAGAAAATGAAAGCATATAAGAGAAAGTAAGATCGTGAGTAATTTCTAGAATTATTATTAATGCAAACACTTTGAAGCTAATGACGAAAAATATAAGATATAATTAATATATATAATATTCGAGGTACAATAATGATGGATATTTATCACCAAATATTAAATTTTAGAATATATTTAACAGGTATTGTATAATGAATAATGCATACTGTTGACGTAAGGTCTAATCAAAAATGAAAATCGAATAATTCAACTGAATGCATGTATAAGATGAAGCATTTTAATTTAATAACTATTTTCATTGATATTTCTCTCTTCCTATTTAATTATAACATTAAGAGAATATTTAATATCAAGGCAAGGCAGACTATTCCAGCCCATATAGCGGATGAGCATATCTTTTAACATAGATAATAATATATTTTTGGAATATGAAATATTAGATATTTTATAGTAGAAATTTCTCTTTTACAATTTTTTTTAAACTCAAATATACAACAGTTGTCTTTTATACCTGACTTCACTTAGTGATTGATGAAAATCGATTACTTACAAGAGGATATAGAAAATTTCATTTTTGACAATATTTACATCACTAAGCATCGCCTTTTCTGACATTTGGTAGGTAAAAAAAATGACATAATTCCAATATTATTCATAGAACACTACCGATATCAATTTTTTCTGCAGCACCCGAATTGAAAATTAAGGAATTTTCCGTACAAAAAGACTAATATTGACGGGAAAAAAACGAAAAAAATTGTCGCAAATAATGGAAAAACGTAAAGAAAATAAATTCATTTATAGATTACGCATGAGAGTACGAAAAAATTGAAGAGTTCGGCTAAAAACATGATTTAAAAAAATGTGTTATTGGCAAAGGCGGTGGTGGTCGCAATAACGAACCAAAATAAAGAAAAAAAGTCGAACGAACGAATACGAAGAGAGTTTAAAGAATTTTGCATTTAAAAAAAAAGGCAAAAAGAAAAGAAAAACTGCAAAAACCAATGAAATTGTAATAAGAAAAAAGAAAAGGAAAATAAAATAATTTTAAGGTAAAAGTTTATTCAGAGGTATGTGCTGCTACCAACACAGAAATATATTAAATTTAATGCATATATGTTTGACCGTTTGGAGTTGATACTTTGTGAGTACAACAATGCTAGCAATGCATAAATAAATATTGCAAATATTAAGCGGAAATAATCATTTCCCCTTTTTATTACTTGCAGGAAACTTCATTAAATCTTTGATTTCATTGGATTGTGAAAATCGTTAAACAGGAAAGGGGTTAATTTCTGATTAATCAGATCGGTGGGCTCAATCATCGTCCGTTTGAAAGTGAAAGAAAAACAGAAGTGATTAACGACAATCCAATCGACCACACAACAAATTTATTGCAACTGCAATCTCTTATCACATCAATTAAAGTTTAACACAGGTAAGTGAGCACCAACTGGCTTTAAGCTTTACATACGTACAAGGTGCATAATTCATATATGTATCGATATGAGCGTGCAGCGTAACTATTTTTATAAGCCGGACCAAGAGAAATTTTGTAAAAAGAGAAACTTTTTACCGGTTTCGTCAAACAACTTATAAGCCAAACAATGCAATGCTAAGCAAATTAGAAAAGAATGACTTACTATTTATTTTGCATTTTTTAACATTTATTTTGAAAACTTACGCATACCATCGTTGAAACTTATCCTAGTACCGTAGCCTCACAACATCAAGATCATTTGCCACATGCTGAATCGATTGTATCAAATTTTGAGAAATAAGTTTGTCTTTTACATAGATTCATATAATGTACAAAAAGACGTAGTGCTCATTGTCATATCCACTATATGCATTTTCCTTCTCGATATGCAATAGTATTTTTAAGGGAAAATCCCCTTGTCTTTTTATTTATGCATCGCCAGAGACGTTGTACAACGCAGATCGGTGATAATGCTAACACCTTCTTTGTTCTTTTTAATGCTCTTGAAAACAATCAATAAAAAATAAATTGAAAGAAAGCATGAATAGTACCGTGTACGATGTAGGATTTATCCTTTTCAAGATTTTCGCAAATAATGTTCCAGCGCAGAAGCCTCTTTAACTTGTTTCTCTTTCTTGGCAAACTGTTGTGTTCAACGAAATGTGTAAACATTTTAGCTGCACTCTCTAATGGAACAAAGCCTTGATATGAGACTATTCTAGTTAATTAGGTTTGTCCACTATCAATGCCTTCCCAGTTTGGATTGTTTAAATGCTTATGATAATATCAACTTGTCTTCACTAAAGATTAAAATTATAATATGAATTAATAAATGGTATTCGGCAAGACATTTTTTTCAGTATAAAGAAGTTGGGATGTGGTATCTTTCTCACAAGGAGCAACCACGAATTTTCTAAAATAACGTCTCCAGACCTAATAAGCAATGTGAATTTCTTTCGAGAAGATTATTTTCGAAAAAATACCGGCGATATGAATTCTTGGGGTTTTTTGGCAAACAATCGACCATACAAACGAAGCTGTAAATATATTGAAGAAATCTTAAGTTGTTTATTAGAGAAGATTTTAAAGCTGTAGTCTGATGTAAAATGAATAAATTATCGATACGGTAAACTATAAAAGTCTGATCACGGCAAGACCCGTCATACGAGACGTCAAGTCTTTTGCTAACTCTGTTGTGTGTGTGAAAGAAATAAGAATTAGGGAAGTCCAAAAGTCCTTGTGGCACAGGGCAAATAAAAATCAGGTAGTTTCTCGTTAATAATAACCGTATAACAATCGTATTAATGAATGATGATTTTCACATTACATTCTTAATTAAGGTTCCAATTTAAATCCGATCAATATTATGGATATTTAAGTCTTAACTTATCATTGCAATATTTACCACTAACAAAACTCTGTGCAACATAAAGACGAATGTCGCGAAATCTACTAACAATTAGATCTATAATGCGAATATATCTCGATAGGGAACAAAGCAATGAGAAAACTACTTAAGATGATAATGAATGAATAAGATTTTAAATGTTGGGCATGTACATACTACAGGTGCAATTACCATAAATTTGAAAATAATGTAAAGCTTTCCTAGGTACCGAAAAATTGTGCCAGCTTCAAAAGAGTGGTTCGCTAATTCTACTCGGACTATTTTCACTTTAAAACTCGGATTTTTAATACCGATTATCTTTAATGTTTACTTCGTTTTTTTTTTTTGTATATTTTTGGGGAATGATAGTAATTTTGAAAAAGCTAAAATAACGTATGTGATGATGGAAATGCAGTTTTGTACGCTTTATGAGTTTTCTTTTCGATATGTTTCTATAGATTTAAGGCGATCAGTGTATTTAACGATGAATAATTGTTGAACAATTTCGTGATCGTATTCACAAGTGCTATAGTTAACCAACATGTTGTGTATATTATATGAGATATATGAGAAATTTTTTTCTTGCGCTCACTGTAACGAATTATTGAAATTATATGGGATACGTTTTCTATTTTTGCTTTCAGGTTTAACCTTATTCAACTTATACGGCAATGGCGTATCGTAAACCAAGTGATTTGGATGGATATATTCAGTTGATGCCAAAAGCGGACATGCGCGTTAAGGCACAATTAGCTGAAGATTTAGTTACATTCCTAAGCGACGACACCAATTCAATTGTGTGCACCGATATGGGTCTACTGGTAGATGGATTAATGCCATGGTTAACCGGTAGCCATTTTAAAATTGCACAAAAGTCCCTGGAAGCATTTACAGAACTTGTTAAACGTCTTGGGCCTGATTTTAATGCGTACACAGCAACAGTTTTGCCTCAGGTGGTTGATCGTTTAGGTGATAGTAAAGATACTGTGCGCGAAAAAGCGCAATTATTATTGCAAACGTTAATGGAACACAAAGTACTAACGCCACAGGCCTTGTTAGACAAGTTGGCAGCGAATTGTTTTAAACATAAAAATGCAAAAGTACGCGAAGAATTTCTACAAACCATTGTGAATACCCTCAACGAGTATGGAACGAGTCAACTTAGCGTACGTAATTACATTCAGTCGATATGTGTTTTACTCGGCGATCCTACAGTATCGGTTCGTGATTATGCAGTTCAAACACTTATTGAGATTTATAAACATGTCGGCGATCGTTTGAGACCTGACTTGAGACGAATGGAGGACTTGCCAGCGTCCAAATTAGCTTTACTTGAACAAAAATTTGACCAGGTCAAATGTGAAGGACTCTTACTTAAATCAGCCACCCAGGCGAATAACCATAGCGGACACGATGAGGCGGATAATGTCGGTATTCGGGAGAGGCCAACAAAAATTGTCAAACGTACCGTATCAGCAACAATGCGAAACAAAAATATATCCACCGATACTAATGCTGATGCCGGAGCTGTGACTATGGACATTTTTGAAGCCTCTTTTGATTTAGTGCCGCAACTGACTATATTCCATCCAAGAGATATGGATGATGTTTACAGAAACGTTTTGGCAACAATGAGTGATAAAAATGCTGACTGGGAGAAGCGTATTGATGCGTTAAAGAAAGTTCGATCGTTGCTAATATTAAACATTCACTCTCATCCGCAATTTGTTAGCACTCACCTAAAAGAACTTTCTATATCCTTTTTGGACATTCTTAAGGAGGAATTGCGTTCGCAAGTGATTCGTGAAGCTTGCATAACTATTGCGTTTATGTCGAAAACTTTACATCAAAAACTTGATAAATTCTGTGAATACATTCTTGAGCAGCTCATACTTCTCATCCAGAATTCTGCGAAAGTGATTGCATCCGCTTCGACAATCGCCTTGAAGTATATAATTAAATATACGCATGCTCCTAAAATTATCAAAATCATTACCGATACTTTACAAAACTCAAAATCAAAGGATATTCGTGCAACGCTTTGTGAAATATTATGTTTGTTATGCGAGGAGTGGCCGACAAAATCTTTGGAGCGAAGTGCCAGTTTGTTGCGGGATACACTTAAAAAATCGATTGGTGATGCTGATAGTGAAGCACGGCGCCATTCACGACGCGCTTATTGGGTTTTCCGGCGACATTTTCCAGATCTTGGCGATCAAATTTACGGTACACTCGATATAGCAGCGCAACGTGCCCTTGAAAGAGAACGCGATAGTGGAGGTAACTCGGAAGAACGTCGCACAACTGTCACTGCAATGCGTGCAACGCGGTCACCTGGAGCTCTTCAAAAGTCTACGCCTGGAATGCGCAGTGTATCAGCAGTAGATACAGCTGCAGCTCAGCGTGCTAAGGCTCGGGCACAGTATGCATTTCTTGCACGAAAAAAAGTCACAAATACTGCGAATACTTCAAACACTTGCAGTAACAATACTAACGTGGGATCTCTGCCTCGGTCACGGCTCGGGATTTCTCAGCAGAGCTCTACGCAGCCATCGTCTACTGGCGTTTTTCAAAGAAATCGTGGGCGAGCAGGTGTTTCTCAGTCACAACCAGGATCACGATCTACATCTCCAAGTTCAAAGTTACGGGAACAACATAGTATTGGTTATTACCGGCCGACTGGTACCATACCTAAGAAGGCATCTGGCATTCCAAGATCTTTAGCCAATTCCCGAGAAACGAGTCCTACAAGAAGCGGCAGTGTAATAATGAAGAGAAGTCTCTACACGACAGGCAGCTCGCGTCGTACTCCAGAACGCAATCAACCAACACGTCAACCAGTCGCCGCTCGCATTTTGCAACAAAGTCGAGAAGCTGAGACAGCCTTATTAGCTGATGCGCTATCACCGGAAGGAAATGGAGGTATAGATTATTCTTCGATGGGTGACTACGCAAGAGAACGGGGCGGTAGCGCTTATCCGAGCAGTTCTCGTATTGGGAGAAAACTTTTGTCACGTGACGAGTCAGATGATTCTGAGGCGTCGTCCGTTTGCTCGGAAAGATCTTTTGATTCTTCTTATACACGAGCCAACAATTCAAACTATTCTTTATCTGGATCGCGCAATCGTCTCGATTGGAGTTGGTCACGTCCACCATTTGAAGATATAGAAACTATTATTCAGTACTGTGCCTCAACCCATTGGTCAGAACGAAAAGATGGTCTCATTAGTTTAACCCAATACCTCGCTGATGGGAAAGTGTTAACTCCGCAACAACTGCAATGTGTTTTAGACACCTTCCGCAAAATGTTTATGGATACGCACACTAAAGTATATTCACTTTTCCTTGAGACGGTAACTGAATTAATGTTGGTACATGCCAATGATTTGCATGATTGGTTATTTATATTACTCACAAGGCTTTTCAATAAACTAGGCACGGAGTTGTTAAACTCTATGCATGGAAAAATTTGGAAGACATTGCAAGTTGTGCATGAATATTTTCCGACTGACCTTCAAATGAAAGATGTCTTCCGGATACTATCCGACTCAGCCCAAACACCTTGCACTAAGACTCGAATAGCAATATTCAAATTTTTAACAACCTTGGCAAACACATACTGCAAAATCACAGATTTTCCAGGAGCGGAAGATGGTACCATTTTGCCAATGGTTGAAAAGGCCGTATTAAAAATTGTTCAGTTAGCCGGTGATCAAAAAAGCATAGAATTACGTAATCAAGCGCGACATTGCCTAATAGCTTTGTATAATCTTAATACACCTCAAATGACGAAAGTACTCTCATCTCTCCCCAAAAATTATCAAGATTCAGCAAAAATATATATACAGTCACATCTACGACGAAGCAGTACCTCGGGTACGAATTCACCATCTTCATCGCCTTTATCCAACTCGAGTCCAAAATCACTTCAAAGTCCCAATATAACTGGGCCATTTACTTCGCTGCAACCACAATTCACTAGTCCACGTTCCCGCCAGTCTTCAGCTAATGACAACGAATTGATACTCGGTTATTCGGAAGTTGACGTTCAGCAGAATATACAAAAGACGACTGAAGAGATACGCAATTGCTTCGGAAGTATCGAAAATCAATATAATTCGCTTGCCAATAACACGAACGGTGTCAATTATAATGGCCATTTAAATGAAGCTTTTGATTCTTGTGCTTCTTCTAATTCAAAGACGCAATCTGCTACTACAACCGAATCCAATACACCTGAAAGCACCACAATGCGTTTGGATGGTAATTTATTAGAGCAACATCATAAAATGATAGCCAGTACGGTAGGTACTAGTTTATGTCAAGCAAATTCACTTCCTTCGACTGCTGTCAATCATAAATTTACCGAAAATGGCGAAATGATATTAGATGGTAATATTGCCGAAAGTGACGTTATTAAAACCGCATTAGCGTTAACGCAAGAAATGCCTTTACCTCAAGTAAATACGGCTTTGAGCAATCTTGGTGTTTGCATAAAGAGCGGTAATTGCGAACTGCCTAATAAACATTTTCGCGCTATAATGAAAATGTTACTCAATATGCTAGATGCAAACTCCAACGAGATAGTGATTGGGGCTCTGCATGTTCTTGCTAAAATTCTGCGACGATCGCAAATGAAACCCAATTGGATTAACTTTGTGGAGCTTATATTGCTTAAAATAATTAATTGCTATTCAAAAAGTAAGGAAACAATGCGCGAATTAGATGTGCTTATTCCTCGCATTGTGCCAGCTCTCCCATTAAATGTGACAATTAAAATTGTTAATCCTGTAATTGCAACGGGTCCTTATCCAGTGAATCTGTGTGCCTTAAAGCTTCTCACAGAATTGGCGGACCGTAATGGTTCCGAGTTAACTGAGTCAGAGTTAGACGTTGTATTCCCGCATTTGGCGCGTCTCGCTGATGATTATCAATCGATGGTTCGGAAGGCGGCCGTCTTTTGCATTGTCAAATTGTTTATTGTCATGGGTGAGGAGAAGGTTAAACCAAAACTAACAATGCTAACTCCAAGTAAAGTACGCCTCTTAAATGTTTACATTGAAAAGCAACGTGGTACCTCTACCGGGGGAGGTAGTTCAACTAAGAATTCCTCAACATCCTCCTCATGATTAGCAAGCGCTCCCAACACCAACTCTGAAATTGAATAAATATATATATATATATATATATATATATATATATATATTTATTTGCTGTGTGAGTCGTGCATATGCGTAGCGTTTTTGTCTATTTCTTGTTACTCAATCCGTTGGCTTAGTCAAACATGCTGTTCTCTGTGTAATAAATCTTTAATATCGTAATGAAAATGTCGCCAAATTAAAGGAGTAAATATATTTGTGTTCGTGTAATATCCTCTTCGTCGTAACCTAACATACATATGTAATTTTAGTTCCGCAAATATGTCCAAATTTGCCTCTGAAAAAAATTCAAATTCAGTATAAAAAGTTAACCCCCGTAACCTTGATCCTAACTGCAAAATTTACCTTACCTTAATATTATTATTGTGTACATCATTACGATTTAATCCCATAGTTACCTAATATTGACTTAACGTTTTGTCATAACTTTTTCTTCCGTTTTCTTAAGTATGTATGTTACCTTTAATTTTAATGTAATTTAAGATTTTAATTTTTTTTTTTTTTTTTTTTTAAATATTTGTTTTACTATTTAACTAATTATAATTAACGTATAAATTTAAGTATAACATTTTTTCTTATTACTTCTCTTTTGCCTTTCGATTTAAACACGGAAATTTTCTTGGCCATCTTATTATCCTTTCTTCTCTTGGAAAGACATTCTGGATGTTTATTAATATAGAAAGAAGCACAGATAGATATGCAACTAAAACCTTAAACAACTTGTTTATTATTATTATTATTATTATTATTATTATTATTAACTATATATTTTTTTCATTTATAATAAAAAAAAAAGAAGTTTTTTTTCAACATATTAGAATTAAGTTAAATCTAAATAAAACAACATGAACAAAAATCCCCTAAGAAACGGCACTCTACAGATCCATTGTATTGAAAGTAAGAAATTTGCAGAATGGCCTACGAAATGCATACTTGGGTTCAAAAATAATATATAAACAAGTTTAACTATTATTATTGTTAACTCTTCAACGCCAGATACTGATATTTCTCTTGTTTCATATAAGAATAATTTTGAAAGTCTTTAAGTTATTGATGGCCGGCCTTTTCAGGTCAATCAATTTATTTTTAAAATTATAGATAACTGATCAAAGTTATAAATTTCAAAATTTCTATCACGACATTTGTGAGAATGAATATCGATCGCAAACATATGCGAAGCTATGCTAATTTATAGCGCCTGTGTGTGTGTGTGTGTGTATGTGTGTGTGTGTGTGTGTATATATATATGATAAGTATTTTTGGGGGTAAATGTGGGTAAATGTTTGTTTTTTCTTTGTTTTTATAATATTTTGATGCGTTGCATATTTAGGATTGTTAGCATATTACTTGTTTAACTCTTTCTCTTTTCTTATACATCATTTTTTAGACATCTAATGATGCGTCATAGCGTTAAAACGTTAACAAACTTTCTGTTAGTAAGAAAGTTTTTTATTCTTTTATTTAATATTTGTAAGCAAAATAAATATTTTGTTTTAATAATTTTATGTAATCAAGGAAATCTTAAACATGCCTTGCTGGTAATATACGAAAAATAATTTCCAAAATTTCTTTTGAACCGGCTATTAGTCGGTGCGAAGGCGTAGGAAGCGACTACGTAAAACCATATTTTATACTTATTCTTCCGCCTATTTAATTAAATCTGGCAAAATATATAATATCGGATGAAATTTGCATATTATATAACATTGCATTTAATCTATTATCAACAAATTTCGTCCTTGATGTTCCGACGCACTATAAAAACATTAAACAAATCCTGATTAACTCTCCTGAGTTGATTAAATAATTGGATATAGATATGAACAATGGGGCAAGAACAATGTCAATCCCAATAAGGTATTGCTAGTCAATGCCTTTCGTTTGTGTTAAGTGGGCGAATTGAATTAAATTTGAATATTTCGTAGAAGGGAACTTAATAGATAATAGTATGTCATATTATAATACATCGTAGGCGCAAATTATAAATATTCTCAGAATAAGAGACTTATATATGTAAAAGTTATGAAATAATATATTTATAGATTATGTAAGAGCGAAGCTCGGACAAAACTGCTTCAAAGGGAAAAATCATGATTATTGTAAATGAAAGTCCTGATTTAAAAATTGAGGTCGTATTTTAATAACGAGGAATAGATAATTTTTCGAAAATTTACTTAAGACGTCATGGGTAACATAACAGATCAGTCCAAATTATTAGGGTTGGATTCAAGGTTTGGTGACTCTTCGGTCTCTATATTTTTTGATCCTAGCTTAATTTCATCGGTATCTTCATTTAACAGACATTCGGCAGCATTTGGCACCCAAAGGCCTGAATCCACACAACGTTTCATATGATATGTGGCAACATCGACATCCATTGAAGCAATTGTTTTTTGTAGCAACTCGGTGTCACGTGTCTCAAAGCACTTTTTTAACTCCTATATAAAGCATTTTGATAAAAATAACCAAATCAAGGAAATATGTGAATGTACTTACATCGGGTAATTCGTCAAACACTTCGACTGGATCAAGACCACCCGGCCCGAGGCGTGATTTTCGCTCCGCTTCAGATTCAACAATGGCTTCCTCGATTTTTTCTTCTGCCCTTTTTTTAATACGTTCTTTGAAAGCTTCAATTTCATTTTCGAATTGAAGTCGATATTCAGGCATGCAGTTTTGTATTTTTGAGAAGAATGAGCCCACGCATGCTCGTGGATCGACATCCAACTGTTTCCCTAGTTCGAGAATGTATTGCAGGCAAATGCACTGATGAGCAACATGTGCCATTAAATCGTGCTTCTCCTCCATTTCCAAGTTGATTGACCAAATTACTAAATAATTGGAAGTATCATCGCAAACAAGGTCAAGATGATTTTGAAGAAAACGCTTGGAATCTTCATATTTACGCAGCATCCCGTATTCCTTGCATAACTTTTCATTTTCCTTGACAAATCGTTTCAATCTTTCTTCACGCTCTTCTTCGGTTAAGTTATCATCATTTTTACGTGCCTGCTGCTTATTGAACATAGTTTTTTCAAAACCTGCTTTGCTAATTGTGTCCACATTCCAAGGGGTTTTCTTTTCTTTTTTGAGTAACTCTTCCTCTCGGCAATCTAAATCTTTGCCTTCCTTCTCTATTTTTTCAAGTTCCTTTTCCAGTTCATTCTCCTTTCCCTCTTTATTCTTAAGGCGTTCTTTAACGTCCACTAGCCTAGCCTGATATGACTGCTTTGCCTTAGTTAATTCATCCTTTTCATGTTCCAACTCGGCCATGCGTTCTAAGCGTGCCTGATGACGCCATCTAAACAAAGAGGGAGTATCGATATTTGGGTGTGTGTCATCCTCATCATCAGAGATCTGCAAGTTATAACAAAAGCACATTTTCTCAAAACGACCATCGTCACATTAAACTCACTCACCTCAATATTTGTCCACTTGCTATAATCTACCATTTTATATGCAAAATATACGATGTTTAAAATTTATTCAATCTTGGCAGCACGCAGAATGCAATTTCTCATTATTTGTATTTGTGAAATATAATATTATTGACACTATAATATACCAGAATATTCTTTGATGTTCAGTGTTACCAGTTCGTATAAAAGAAAATGCTACTATTGCTAAGACAAGATTGCCAAATTTTTAAACGAAACCGATTACGTCAATAATAGAATTTTTAATAAATTTTCACATTATCGGTGTACAGCAGTTGAATATTGCGCTAACTCAATTTCATATTTTTAGTTCATTCCAAACTATGTACGTATGTTCGCATATATATTTCATATTGGCTGCTCTTTTAATCTTATCTTCATTACAGAAATATGAGTTTATTCTAGATGTTTAATTCCTAATTAAGTTAATAAATTATATAATTGACTTTGAGCTTATAAAATTGATTTTCAATGTTCATAAAATTTCTTAGCTTTGCAATCCATTCAAAATCCTATTGATCTAAATCCTAAATAGTATTTATAAGTAAAATTCTTTAAAAGCCTGTAAGTGGATAAATACCTTAACATATAGATTATATTGCGATAATTGAAAGAATTGAAAGAATAAAAATATATATGACAGTTGATTAATAAGAAGCTTTTTATGCACATATATAAAATTTTCATACTTATGTAAGTTTTCCACGGTTTCAATTTAAAACCAAGTCACTTAATACTTTTCAATAATTAAACGATTGAACAAAGAAATTTAGAAACCACTTTTCTGATAAATTTGAAGTCTATGAGAAAATAAATGAAAATTAATAACTGATAGGTTTAAAGTGCATCTAACAATACGGCGTCTAAGCGCATAAAACACAATGATGAATTATTCCTATTTTCGGGATATTATTATGTCAACTTTTCCCACTTTTGACGATAATTTGTAGGAATTTGCAAATCATATGGTGTCGTATGTATGCAAACAAAAAAAAAAAAAAAAAAAAAAAACAAATAATAAATAAAAAGAAGAAAATAATTTCGGAACAAATGACGAGTGCTTCTTTTTTTAAGTTAAGAGGTATTTGTCTAATTTGCGTTTCTTTTATACAAATATAAATTTTATTTATATATTATGATTTGCAATTTTGATTAATACTGTATATTATTTTAATAATAATAAATGAAAAGCTATAAACAATAATGATCATTTATCATAATTTTAAAACATGTTTGTCAAATTGTTTAATTAGATTATGGAGATAAACATAATAATTTCTCAAATTTAGGCTAATGAATAAAATTCAAGATAAGGAAAGCCGGCAAAAAAATTTCTGGAATTCCAAAATTTCAAGTGATATGCATAATTAAAGCAATTATAAAGAAGCGAAAGAAGCATCAATGACAAAATGGTAATCATTGCCTATTTAACATCCAAATGCCGTATTCCTTGAAATGTTTCCATTGCTTTGGAAACCATAAGCCAAGATACCTATGCCTGTAAAAGTATAATTTGCATCACAGATTCCCAGCAATACCATAAAGCAACGGCCTAAAAGATTCTATAAAAGGTGTTTGTTTATTTTTCATAATTATAAAAAAGGTATTCGATTTTTCGGGGACAAAGGCCAGTTATGTGTTTGCGAACATCGCAACGATGCAAAGAGGAAATTCTCACCTCTTATTGAAGATCTGGGTTATTTTCTTTCATTGACATTTGTTGGGCAGTGCTATGCACCGAGCGGCTATGTTATCCAATTTAATTTCACATAATTTGCAAACCATCATGTAAACAGTTGAATTGCATAGGACAATTTAGCAACTCCAATCGTGGGAATATAAGTGAAGCTTCAATGTAGCGATAGTCTAATTGAATTCATAGTCAAATATTTATGAGTAACTAACTCTATCCGTATCGTTGACATTACCGCTTATTGCGTTCAAATTATGTGATTACTATAAAGGCAATCTGCCCATTCGTCTACAGTTATTGAGATAAAAGGATCAAATTTACCTTATAACAAGGCTATAACTTACAGTGGTTATTGCTCGAAAGGTTGGCACGAATATCTTTCCACATTTCAAACGAAACGCCCACAATTTATTGAATAAGTTGTAAATTTTGCATATTGATTTTATTTTATGGGTATTAAAAATTTTCCATAAGGTGGATCTGAAAAACAGGTAGTTTCTGTGTTATAGACTTGCACGGACTGCTAAGAAATATATATGATTGAGTTCGCAGATTTATTTTAAAAATTTTGAATCCACATCTCTGATCCGATGCAATAACTTTGTCTTTTCAATATTGTTAGCGAGCGTTTATAACAGCTTTTCTATCTGAGATGTAACTGCTACTCTTGATTTGATTTAATATTTTAAAACTGAATGATATTTTGGGAAAATTTGAAAAAAAAATTTTAATAGATTGGAAATGGGCAATTGGGTACTAGCCATGATATTTAAACTTAGGACAATAACAGGTAAATAAAACTTATGCCATTCTTGGTCATCATATTAATTGAATAACGATTGCAAATATACACAAACACATATATCTACTCGTATTTACATACTCGATTTATATGTAAAGCTATATATATATATATAATATAAAAGAATATATGCTTGATTTCCTATTGCAAGAATTCTACGAAATTAAGCCAAATTTATATTACACGATAAAGGATTATAAAGTTTAGCGTTTGAACGTTAAAATATTAACACCTCTCGAAGTAAATGAAGGCAAATCTTATAAATAATTCTGTCTCTGTTCAATTATGTAAAAGCTTAAATTTATTACAAAGTCAAATATTGCACAGTGGTGTGTTTAAGTGCAAAAATCGAAAAAGGAAAAACAACCGATTGACTGGTTGAAGTGTGCCGAAAAAATGCAGTGGAACACGGGTGAACGACGTAGCCTTTTAAAGTTAGCGTAAATAGCTTGAAAAATATTGACTCTTCAATTTACATGTTATTTGCATACATTATTTTGTTTCATGTTTATAAGCACTGATAACCTTGTCCGCATCCGAGCAGCCGAGTAGATAAAAATCCCACCTAGCAAATCGATATGTTCGCGGTCTCAGATGTCATTGTGCTAGAGTTTACTTTGGTCGCTTTGATTAAGATGAGTGCCCAGCCGATAAAGGTGTAACACTAACTGATTGATGTAGACACCCACCAGGCTGCTTTGACGTTCTTGTCTATTTCTCTTTTCTTACTTCTTTCAGTAGTTGTAATATTTTTTAGATTACTCAGCATAATTTTTTTTACATTAAGATACTTCTATATAATGAGATTACTCGGAATGTATTCGTTTAAAAAGTATAGTAGTTTTTTTTTTTTTTTTTTTTTTTTAAACCTGTATTGTGTACATCGTTCATAATTAAAATTTTTTTAAAAACACAGAAAGTGTAAGCCATTCGCTCCTAAAAAAAAAAAAGTAATCAAAACGCAGTTGTAGGCTCGAAAAGCAAATAATAAAAATTTGTTTTGAATTCCAAAAGGTCCTACTGTCGGTGCGCACTCGTGCCCTGCAAAAAATTCTCGTTATCTAATATATAATGAATTGTTTTGTTTTATGGAAACCAGCCATTGGATAAATATCAGTTTACGGTAAGATTCCATCTTTGCCTATATATATTTTTTCGTTTTTACATTTTTACACAATTTGAGAGTTCTTCGGCTCAACGGCTCATTTTTAAGCTGCCTCCCAGACAAATTCTTCTTGACTTGCTTTTAACAACTTAGGATTTATTAATATTGCAATAGAAAAAATTTTTTGCTCTCCCGATTTTTTATCCTTTTTATTATCAAAGACATTCTCGACTGTGTTAGAAAATACAAAGCAAAGTTTTCTTTCCACCTTTTGTATTGTTTTACGACTTTTTTGCAAGTCCTACATAAATTCCGATGTTTTCTTCTTGATAAAAGATATTGGGAATAATTTCGTATTCCGTATCCAATATAATTTTATACAGTTAGAGAGATTGCATAATAATGAATACTGTATAAAGAGAGGGTGTAAATATTAGTTATATAATTTATAGAATTTACCAAGTATTTTTATAGACTTGGACTACTGTGCATGTAAAGAACAATCAAAAGTTGCATGATACTTTGAAAAAGCGAATTAGTGGCAGTAGAGGTTAGGATATTAATTGGTCTGGTTTTAATTTAAGAAGTATTTCTTTAACTACATCTTTAAAAGTCGAAAAATGTTAAACAATTATAATCGGAAAAAGAAGCACGATACTGTTTTTTTAAATGTGAAACCTGCAGCGAATGGAATTGGTGTTCGAAAATATTCGAATGGAATATTAGATCGAATAGACAGTGGTTTCGGGGTAAACTATGATAATGAGAAACGAGCTAGTCGACATTCAGTGGGTACCATCGATTCCATGAATCAGCAATTTATACCTGTAAGTGTCCTACATTCAATCCTTGATAGCATGAATTTCATTATCCAAATCAGCAAATAAGCAAAAAAAATCTTATATATTACAGTTAACGGCCAATCATTAACCATACCGTACATCTCGTTAGCATGTAAATGCTTACTTTTGATAGGCAAGTGTCCAAGAAATAAAGGAATTTGATTCAAATGTAATGAAGTTATTGCCTTTGTCTAGAATTTAATATTAGTTAGATCTTGTTAGTATCAGAAAGGCTTGTTATGCAAAAGTCATTTATAAGGTCTTTTTATGTGAAGTAGTACGGGAACATATCACGGTAAATATCTATGCTATACCGTTATTTCGAACTGAGCAATGTTATTTAAAGGCATAGTATTTATACCGTACAGCGCTTGTCGCGCAGTAGGACTAAAGATATACCCATCTTTTGTTTCGTACCAATCGAGTCAAAATCGTTTTCTGAATCAATTTACGTTTCTCTGTCCGTCTGTCTGCCCGCGTACACTTTGTGTTCAAATTATATCTCCCAATATTTAAGATATATTGGAAAAATTTGGTGCACTGGCATGTTTTGGGCCACGTATGAATCCTATCCCTAGAATGAATGAATCCCTAGATTGGATTAGACCACTTTTGCAACGACTCGCCGTATAGCTCTTCATATTGAAAAATCGATCATATGAAACAATTTGAATTTTCGCAATCAATCTCTACGATCCTCGCGTATAAGCGTAATATGTTATGTTTGTGCTTAGGAAGTGTGTATTCCGTCTTAAATTTTTTAATAAGGCGTCCAAAACATTGCTTACTATGCAGCCGTAAACAAACTTACTATGCTACTAACTTACATTACCACACGATCGTAGATGGGCGAGATTAGTCTAGTCGTGCAGACTATAGTATATCTAATCAGATCAGTACCATCTTTCCAATTAAGAGCGATCTTAATTAATGAAAAGTGGCTTAATAAGTGAAGATACTTTACAAAACTATACTTTACATATTAGTTTGGGGAAAAAGAAATCCATTATTTTTTCGGTAGATGGCTGCACTGATAGATTTCTCGTAAAGTATCGATCAAACAATTTCAGATTTATGCTCGTTGGAAAGGTGACATTTCGCAGTAAAAAAAATTCTTTTGCTGTTTTTTGCTTGGTGCATTCAGTTGTGAGTTACAGCGTGTTAAAAATGGAAGTGAACAAAGAGAAAATTCGGTACATTTTACAGTTTTTCTTTGACAAAGGCGCAAATGCAAGCCAGGCGGCTAAAATTGTGAATGGTGTTTATGGTTCCGATACTGTAACAGCCAATTATGTGCAATTTTGGTTTCGTAGATTCCGTTCAGGAATTTTTGATGTTAAAGATGCACCTCGCACAGGTAGGCCGGTCGTCGAAAATGTCGATATGTCGGCATGTTAGCAGTCGCAACATCGCCCAGGAGCTAAAAATCGATCATAAAACAGTTTTAAACCATTTACACAAAGCTGGATTCAAAAAGAAGCTCGATGTTTGGGTGCCACACCAATTAACAGAAAAAAACATGATGATGGATCGAATTTCCATCTGCGAAGCCTTGGCCAAACGGAATGAGATAGACCCATTTCTTAAACGAATGGTGACTGGAGATGAGAAATGGATCACATACGATAACCCTGTGCGAAAACGATCGTGGTCAAAGAGCGGTGAAGCAGCTCAAACGGCCAGGAAGGTTTTGCTATGCATTTGGTGGGACTGGAAGGGGATTATTTATTATGAGTTGCTTCCATATGGCCAAACGCTAAATTCTGACCTCTACTGTCAACAACGGGACCGTTTGAAGATAGCGATTGAACAGAAACGGCCAGAATGGGCCAACAGGAGAGGTATCGTGTTCCACCAGGACAACACTAGGCCACACACATCTACAGTGACTCGCCAGAAACTTCGGGAGCTTGGTTGGGAAGTTTTAATGCATCCGCCATACAGTCCGGTCTTGGCACCAAGCGATTATCATCTTTTTCTTGCATTGCAAAATTTCTTTAATGATAAAAAATTGGAATCTAGGGAGGATTGTGAAAATCGACTACTGGAGTTTTTTGCAAATAGAGACCAGGACTTCTATGAGAGAGGCATTTTGAAGTTACCTTTAACATGGCAACAAATCGTATAACAAAACGGAGCATATTTGATCCAAATCGGACAATCCGAAGCATGTTAAATAAAGTCCTGAAGTTCATATAAAAATAATGGATTTCTTTTTCCCCAAACTAATACTTCTCTATATATGTAGGAACCGTGCATCGTGTACCGTGGACCGTGAATAATATAGGTTGCTACAATGTAAATAAAATGTTTTGATAGGAATTCACTATCATTCTATATATTTAATATAGTCCGCGCGTGAAACAAATGTGACTCGTTTGTAAAAAATATATATATCTGTTTTTTTAAGAACATATTTTTTAGAAATTTGGCACCAGTGAAATGGTTTTTAAGTGTTATCGGCGTTCTGCCAATGACACGTCCTGGACCGGGTAATGCAAAATTTACGATAGGCTCGTTGGCATTCGTCTATTCGATTTTAACTTTTACCCTCTTAACGGTAAATAGTTTGAAAGTCTGCACAGATCACATTGAATTTTGAGTGATTGGGTCTTTTTTTTATGCAATATTATGCTGCACAGCTATATGTGGTGTACGTGGCAAATAATCGGATACGTATAGTAACTTCTTTGAGTGGACCCTTTGAGGAGGCTGTAATTGCTTATTTATTTTTGGTGAATATTTTGCCCATATTTCTTATTCCGCTTTTATGGTGGGAGACCCGGAAAATTTGCGTCCTCTTAAATGACTGGGATGATTTTGAGGTTTGTTATCATAACTGTAAAGTATCATACCGATATAATAAACGATATAATTGCGAAATTTTTTTTTATTTATTTTTAGATACTCTATTATCAAATATCGGGTCACAGTGTACCGTTACACTTACGACGTATAGCCGTAACGGTAACAGCAGCCTTACCTCTGCTTTCGGTTATATCGGTAATAATAACACACGTTACCATGGCCGATTTTCAACTATCTCAGGTTTGTAAAGTTTTTCGCAATGACGAGATGATATATATTCTCGGTCGGTACACGTTGGTCATTCATCAAGAATCTTAAAATCGTCGAAAGGTAAAAACTAAAATAAAAAACCATTAAAATTTGGCTTATGGTGAACTTTTTACTACCGACATACACATGTGCACGCAAAATTTAACGAAGATTTACTCGTATCATATACCTTGTTGTCTTCATATATTTCGTCGTAAATATTCTAAATCATATTAGCTTGCAAAGTCGCACCATCCGATTGTTAGCTACTTTACTTTATTATATATTTTTATTTCCTGAGCAAGGTGATAAAGGTATATATATATATAGAGTAATAGAGAGTTCGTTTAAGCATATCTTTGATGTCACAATTGTGATGTCACGAAACAGCTGGTCATATATATCTTAATCGATTTCGCTATATATTCGAATCAAGAATAATTATAGTTAAGATTATAGTCAAGTAAGGCCGACATTTAGACACCTTATGACATTTCGCGTAATACAATTACTGTTTCAGTTTACCGATAATACACCAAGAATTGTATCTTATTTTCATACAAGATGTTATGGCTTAAAATGATATGTTTGCTGTGATGGAAAGATTAGCACTGTTGTAAATATGTAAGGATCATCGCTTCAACGATAGATAGAAATTAAAATTTATAATTGATTTTCAGAGTCATATCTTAATTCAAACGTTCGCGCTACGCGCAAATTAAATTTCGCGAAATTCGCGATTTATCTGGTTTTCGGATATTTGCCGAATCCATGAATTTATCTGTTTATCTTATCATTGATTGATTGATTTATTATGCCAAGTGCGTCTGATATACTAAAATATAATTAAAATGAATGCTTACCTTGCTAAAAATTAATTAATTAGGTCATAAAGTGAATGTAATCATAAAAGTTGTGTAAATGCTTTCGCTAGTCGAAATTATTTAAATGATTATTGGTAACTTAAATTAAAGCATAATAAGTATGCTTACTAAGTTTACTTACGCTAAAGTTACGTGGGTATCCGCCTAAGTGGCCGGAGTAGGCAAGAGTCTCGACTAGCAACTCAATGGTCGTGGGTTGAAAACTCAAGTGCAGTAGAGTTTTTAATAAAGCCGAAAGCCTTAGATGCTAGGGCTAGAATTTATTCTCTGGCTAAATTAATAATAATAATAATAATAAATACATTAGGAACGGCCTAGTTTTGATGAAAGGAATTTCCCCATATTGGAGGATGTTTAAAGCTTAAATACTTACTCAAGATTATATTATTTTTCAGTTGTTTTCGCGGTAAAAAATTACAAGTCAAACTTTGTCGCCATATCGCGGTATATTTTTCATAACAACCCCTATATTTGATGGGGTGTGAAAGATGGACCTATATGACCCAAATATCCTATGGTTAATTTTTATACAGCTTATTAATTTTGACGCCATATTACTGTAACAAATCAGCTTATGCCAAAAAGATGGCAGTCTTTTCCATCAACATTCAAACAGACTCTGTTTTGTATGTCACGTGAACTGGATAACAGTTTGGTAACACTGTTATGCGATCACTGTAGAACTTCTGCGATGTTTTGGCGAAAAATTGAATTTATTAACTGAACTGAATTCTGGCCGATTTAAAAAAATTTCGGCTTTACACCCTTAAGAGAGAAAGCGAGAGAGAGAGAGAGAGAGAGAGAGAGAGAGAGAGAGAGAGAGAGAG